TGTTATTCCCTGTTTTGTATGAAACGTTTATTGCCAGCTGATGCTGGTCATGTTAATCTAGAGTCTCTATTGCAAAGCCATTATCATAAGTTTTTGTAATCACATTGCTTTCGTGAAATGGCAATATGAAAAAATCCGAATTTTGCCAAAAGTTCAAAAATGCCAAGATTTGTCTCATAAACACCAAATATCAGACAATATTAAAATTGTCTAAAATGTAAAGATTTTTTTATTATAAAGGTAGAACAGGTCTGAAAGGTTCTAAAGATGTCTATTATGTTATGTGTAAACTGGTTGACACAACCAGTGATGTTCATAGGCAACTGCAGTGTATTCTACATAGCATGTACCATATTTATTTTAATAAGAGGAAAAAATGTGCTTAAAACTAATCAAATAGTTTTGCTGTTTTTGTCTTGATATCACTTAGACTATTTAATAACACCAGATTTTTAATCTTTCAGATTTAAATTTACAACTCCTTTGAACAGTAGAAAAAGGGTAATGTATAGGAGGAGTGCATTGGTTTTTTTATGTAGTAGACAGGTATTTTTTTTTTTTTTTTAGAATAATCTTAATTTGGTCTAATAAGCAAAATAACTCAGTACCAATAGCAATTTCTTAAAAGCAGAATGAATTTATCAGGTTAGCAAATGGAAGCATCTCCAGTATCCCATGGATATATCCAAAAATGTTTCCATTGTGTGAATTTGTAATTATATTATATTAAACAGAAATGTGAAGTTGAGAATTTTTAAAGAATAAAGAATCACCTTCTCTCAATATTCTTTGACATTGAGAAAGCTTATGATAAGGCATGGAGATACGGTATACTTCGAGATCTTCATGTCAGTGGCTTGTGCGGCAGCTTACCAATTTTCATTCAGAACGGCATAGTGTTTAGGGGAGCCTGACTGCAATACCAGCGGACCTGGGTTTGAATCCCAGAGAAGGCATAGATGTAAAATTGTCTATCCCTTCATAGGAGGTAACGGTGGCTGCCTATTAGGTGCTTCCGTAATAAAATGGTCATCGCTTCTGGCCTTGGTAGTGGCCACTGCCATTATAGGCAAATCCCCGCCATTTGTATTTAAAAAAAAAAAAAAAAAAATCAGAATTTCTTGAATCCTAGAACTTTTCAAGTAAGGATTGGCTCTGTTTTGTCGGATGTTTTCGAACAGGAAGAGGGTGTGCTCAAGGTTGCATGCTTAGTGTAACCCTGTTCAGCCTAAAATTTAAATTCTGTGTGTTAAAAGAACTTCGTCCCACAATTTCAGGATCTTTGTATGTAGATAGATGACCTACAAATTAGCTATCGAGGAGCAGATATGAGACATGTAGAGAGGCACTCCAGATTGCTTTGAACAAGATCCAGGAATGGGCAAACAGACAAGGATTTATGTTTTCAAAGCAGGAGACTGTGTGCATGCACTTTTTTAGAAAACGAGGTCTCCATCCTGAGCCTAAATTATATCTCAGTGGGTCAATGATTCCAGTTGCACCTGAAGTAAAATTTTTAGGAGTGATGTTCGACCGAAAATTGACTTTTCTTTCTCATATCTTAAATCTGAGAAAGAAGTGTTTAAAAACACTAAATATTTTAAAAGTATTGGCGAACACCTCCTGGGATGCAGAGCATTGCTCTATGCTTTGCATAGCGCTAGAGTATGGCTCAGTTACAGAGCACTAGACTATGGCTCAGTTATTTACGAATCCACTCGGTCTTCAGTGTTGCAAAAACTAGATCCTGTTCATCATCAAGCTCTGTGGATTTGTTCTGGAGCCTTCTGGACATCTCCTGTGCAGAGCCTTTATGTTGACTCTAATGAACCACCACTTCATCTGAGGCATGAGCAGTTGTCCCTTTTGTAGTATTTTAATGTTTTGTCACAACCTGAACATCCTAATAAGCTGTGCTTACTTAATAATATGTGTAACACTTTATTTGCAGCACGTCCATTCTGCGTGCCTTCTTTTCCTTAAGACTTTGACCTGCCATTTAAGGTTTTCTCTCTTTCTGATATGTGTTTCCAAGCAGTGCAGAATTTTGAAATCCCACCTTGGGAAAGTGCACAAATCCAGCTTCTTGATGTTTTCAACCATCACTTGAAGGGAAGCACTAACAAGATCATTTACAGACAACTCTTCGCTGAGCACAGGCACAAATATAGCAGTTATCATCCAATATACAGTGGTGGCCAAAATTGTGGACACTTTCGGAAATTTTTATGTTTTTGAACTTTGTATGCTTATAGAAAACGTTATGTTTCACAAAATGCAAACTTGTATATATCATTTTAAAGAGAATTTATTACTGAATTCAATACAAAAACACAAAAATTCAATTATTTGCAATACAAAAAAAGTTAAACGATAATAGTTATCGATATACGTTAGATAGTGATGATTGCAGTGAATTATCAGTACTTAGTAGGGTACCCTTTATTTTTTATTACAACTTCACATCGACGTTTCATTGAGCTGACAAGAGTTTTAAGCTCTTCTTTCGTTATTACATGATGCCAGGAAATAATTATAGCCTCAATTAGTTTCCTTTTATTTGATGGGTGCCTCATTCAGACAAGAGTTTTCAAACGGTGCCACAAATTTTCGATAGGATTGAGGTCAGGACTGTTTCCTGGCCATGACAACAATTTAATGCTCCTTGTACGAAATCACTCTTTCGATATTTTGGCCGTGTGGCAAGGAGCAGAATCCTGCTGAAAAATAAACGAAGCATTGTTGGGAAAGAGATCTCTGATGGAAGGTAGAAGTTTTGGTTCTAGAATAGTGTCAATGTATTTTCTGGCATTCATATTTTCTGGCATTTCCATCGATGACATGAAGGCGACCAATACCATCTGCTGACATGCATGACCAAATCATAACACTAACTGGGTTCTTCACAGTTGCTTGAATGCAGTCAGGATGTAGCTCTTCTCCTATTCTACGTCTTACATATTTTCGCCCATACTACCGAATAACGATATCTTAGTTTCATCACTCCATATAACTTGTGACCACTGATCATCTGTCCAATTAATGTGTTCCTTTGCCCACTGTAGTCTTTTTTTTCGTTGCTGAAAATTAAGATAGGGCTTTTTTCATGGAAATCTACCTCTCAGTCCAACATCTGTTAATCTTCTCCTGATTGTTCTTGAACTAACAGAAACACCAGCATCATTCAGATCACTTCTGATGGCCGTTGATGACATTTTTCTAACTTGGAGACATAGTCTTTTTATTCTTCTGTCATCAATAGATGTGGTGCACCTTTTTGGACCTTTTCCTTCTTTGTTTTTTATTGAATTTGTCTCCTGATATCGTAGACAAAACTTTCGGACTCCAGGTGTAGTCACTGAACCACGCACCTGTCTTGCAATTTCAGCATAGGAAAGACCACTTTCTCGTAACACAATAATACTACATCTCTTTCTAGGTGTCCAATCTACTCTTTTATTTGATGTCATTACTTCTTGACTAAATATTAAAAATTTTTACAAAAATTCCTACTTGTAATTGCAGTGTATAAGAAACAGGTCCTCCTTCTACAGAACAAAGCAAAATAATGAATTGTTTCAAGTAAACATGATGTCAGCTTCTACTGGCAGTTACTAACATTTGATTGGTTCTCAGAACAAGAACAGTGATTGGCCAGAAAAGCTAGACATTACAAACCACTTCATAACTGTTTTTTTTTATTATTATTTATTTATTTATTTATTTATTTATATTAAAGTACATATAACTTTTTTGTATTGCAAATAATTGAATTTTGTGTTTTGTATTGAGTTCAGTAATAAATTCTCTTTAAAATGATATATACAAGTTTGCATTTTGCGAAACGTAATATTTTCTATAAGCATACAAAGTTCAAAAACATAAAAATTTCCAAAAGTGTCCACAGTTTTGGTCACCACTCCACTGTATACAGATGGATCCAAGTCAAATGATCATGTCGGGATGGCATTTGTAATTGAAGATCACATAGAGGACAGATGCTTGCACCATTCTTTCTGAGTTCTATCATCTGAACTAACTGCAATAATGGTTTTTTGTACATCTCAAAGCTCTGCCAGAAAAAGTTCATAATTGGTAAAACTCGTATAGTGCTCTTAAATCATTGGAAGCTTTTCCCAACACTCAGAATCCTGTGGCAGTGGATGTTTTCAAGATTCATACAAACTTAACGATTCGAGGATATGAAATCTTGTACTGCTGGGTTCCTGGGCATGCGGGAATAAAGGGAAATAAGCTTGCAGTAATCACAGCAAAATCTGCTGTTGAACTGTCGAGTCACCTCATCCCTTTTAGAGACATCTGCTGTGTCATCAAAGGGAAGATCCGAAAAAAAAAATGGCAGCAAATTTGGGACATTCAGCTTCACAACAAGTTGAGAAATGCAAAGCCTAGAATTGATCATTGGGATTTTGCTGGAAATCGTAAGGAGGAAGTTCTTTTGACTCACCTCAGAATTGGTCACACTAGAGTGACATATAACTACCTTTTGAAGGCTGAGAATGAGCCTGTTTGTTTGAATTGTAATGTTTGTCTATCAGTCCATCATATTTTAATTGAGTGTCCATGTTTTAATAGCTTCGTAAGAAATGTTTTAATAGCTGCGACTTACCTCTCAACCATTTAATAGGAAGAGAGGTCAATCATAATTTATTTTATTATTTAAAAGATATTGACTTTTATTACCTAATGTAATTTGTTTTGAAGACTGTGTCTTGAATTTTAATATGTGCTTTTACCTTGTTTTTATATGACTTCATCCTCTGGATTTGATACATTTGTTCACCTGTTTTTATTTACTAATAAATTAATTTGTTTTCATCGCTTGAGATCATACTACCTCATGTTTGGTGTGTTATAATCATCTTTGGTTTTGTGCCAATAACCTCACTCGTACTCTCACTTTAAAGAATAAAATAAAATGTTGTTATATTTATGATCAATAAACTGTTGTGTACTTAAACTGTGATATATATTTCTAGGTATTACAGTGAAGAAGAGGGTAGACCTATGAGGGAGGTAACTAGTGTATTCATGACACCTTCTGGTTTTATTTCACCAGTTCATGAAGGGAAATCAGCTGATTCATCTTTACCATGTTTAGTTGACTCTCCACCACCTACACCTGAACTTCCATCACATTCTTCCTCATCAAAGAAAGATGTCAAATTCAAAGACATTCGGAAAGAGAAGTCTTCAAAACCTAAGAAAGAGAAGGATATAAATAAAAAAGACCTTAAAAAGTTAAAAGCCTCGAAGAAGGAAAAAGAAAATAAAGAAAATGCTGTTGGCAAACACGATAAGGCTCTGACTTCATCATCGAGTTCTAAAAAAGAACACACAAGTAGTTCACACAAATCTGGGAAATCAGATAAAAGTATAAAGTCTGAAGACTCAGTTCGGCAGAAAAGCAAAAGTGATAAAGTTAAGTTAAAATCCCGTAAGGATGAAATGCACAAAATGAAGGATAGTTTTAAACTAAGTAAAATAAAGGCTAAACTAAAACATTCTGGGGCTTCTTCTTCATCCACTATGAAGTCATCGAAATTAGCGAGCTCGAAAAAATTTAAGTCAGCCAGAGTACCCAAAGCTGTAAAGAACCTTAAAAAAGAAAATGCCAAACTTATTGTTTCTCAACCAGCGCCTTCTCTTCCTACAACTGTAATTCCTAACGAACTTCCGGTTGAACTTAAGCCTTCTATCACTGAACTTAAAGTTGAAAAAGAAGTGAAAACAGAATTTATTGAAACTGAAGAACTTTCGTTTAGGGAAGAATCTCCTGAACCAAGGTTAGTGATTGATGATTCTATTGAAACACAAGCGAGACAAGAAAGAGAGTCTCGCTTGGAAGTTATTGATGAATGCATCGAATCTGTTATACGGCAGTCAGAAGTTGAAGTTGAGAAAACGCACAAGGCTATGGATGAAACTATTAATGCTGTAGTTCGTGGTCCAGCTGTAAAAAAGCTGGAACCCAAAGATATTTATGATTTTACGGACACATCTGATAGCTCTTCATTATCCTCTTGTGACTTAATACCACATTCTCCTATCCATGTGCCAGTAAAAAAAGAGAAAAAGAATGCTGAGTCTAAAAAGTCTTCAGGTAGCCCTAAAAGGACAAAAGGTAAAGACAAACAGAAAAAGAAAGGGGGCCGTGATTCTAAAGCTAAATCTCCTACTCCTTATGCATCACCCAAAAATCAAAAATCTTCTTTCATGTTAAAAGTTGATGACAGAACTCCATCTCCAATACCATTGAAAGATGATTTGCTGAGTAGTGAAGGTTCAACGCCAAGTCCATCACCTCAGCATAACACATTTTTTGATCATACGCCGCAAGTTCAAAGTCATATCCATCCTCCTCCTTTACTTTCACAAATACCATCAATGATTTCACCATTTATGCCAATGCCAGTGTCTGGCTCTGGTTATCCCCAGAGTCCATTTTCATCAATGCGTCCTTTACCTTGTCACATGCAAACAAATCCTCATTTTCCAACTCCACCATTATTTGTTACTCCATCTAAGTCTGAAAATAGTCCTACATTTCAGAATATTCAACCCTTGAACTTGGCTAAACCTGGTCCTTCTTCCAAAGGCTCCCCAGAAAAAACATTTGAATCAGGTTTAATATCTCAGTCATCCTTGAAGCCAGAAAGCTCAGACATAATAAAGAAGGCAGCAAATATTCTTGATAAGGTTTGTGTCTTTTTCTGTTACAGTTTTTTATATTAGTGTCAATTTTATAAATGACTGTAATTCAGATTTCTGTTAAAACTGTGCTTTAATATTATAAATCTAAAAGTATTTTTGCATAAAATGTGTAAAATATTGCATATGTATGAAAAACTTATTAACAGTTCCAAATTAAAGGATGGGCCATTAGCTTAATGCACATCAAATGTGTCAAAATATGAATTTAAGTAGGCTTTTTGTTGCTGTTGTGTGTGTGACTGTGCCACTGAGAGTGTTTAGAGGTTAGTGGCACTAACTGCCGTACTGATGGGCCCAAGTTCAAATCTCAAAGACATGGGTGTGTTAAACGTATAATGTTTCTGCTACAAGGAAGCACTCAAAATATATGGTGAGCCAAAAGTCTTCTCAAGTGATTGGGGGGGGGAGACCCCTTGGACCCGCAATGATGTTCTCCATCAAAATGGGATGGAACTTGACTGTGAGCAAGACCTAGGCCTAATATGCTTTGGGGAATGAACAATGTGCCTTCCTTATTTCAACCTGTACTTCTGTGCATGTGTGTATATGTATGCACATAGACTGTTAAAGAGTGCCAAAAATGCTTTCTGCTTGGAGTGCAAATATGACATTGTTAAGGTAGGTTATTATGGTATTCTTTAGGTTAACAAAAATCTTCAAAAAACTGAAAAATATTTGGTTTATTTCAGTTTTTAAATATGATAGATATAGAAGAACTTGAATCTGACAAAAATCGTAATAATTTTAAAATATATGCTATAAAGTAAACAAAATTCAGCTTTAAATCTGGCACTAATTCTTGAAAGTTCGAAATAATGTAATGCTGTCAAAGATCTGTATGGCTTCAAGGTGGAAAAGCCATTACATTTTACTGTTCCAAATTTCCTCAGCGTGAAACCATTGGACTGTCTCTTGAGCAAAATTTTAAAAAATAACTTTTAGATATTTTTGGAAGTTATATGATTGAAAAAAGTATTAATTTTAAGTTAATCAGTTTTAATGAATGTGGAGGGTTCTATTGAGATTTAATTCACAAACTAAAAGATTTTTTTTCTCCCCCACCTTTAAAATATGCTGGTAGTAGGGAAGAATTAGGAGAGTTGGCAAGAGACCAGTATTTTTTAACAGGGGGATATTTATTAATTTCATCCTTCCTAAACATACGAAACCTATTCTTAAATGCTGAATTTCTTAGTGCTTGTGATGGCTTTGTGGATGAATAAGGCACCGTTTAACAAGACGAAACACACGTTTATTAAAAATAATATTCAAAGCATAATAGTAAACTCAGAGCAGTTCGTCGCTCCTACAACATAGCAAAAGTCGAGAACCTTCATCTTCCGAGGCTAAGATGCAACTCTAAAAAAACACAGTAACCACCTTTGGAGAAGAGGCTACACGTGCCAAGCATGCTTTGTTGATCGCCAAACAGTCGCCAGATACTACAGTGCTGTTATATTCATATGTAAAGGAATGTTATCTGCAATTAAAGAATACCTGCTTTTAAAAAAATTTGAAAGCAGGTATTCTTTCATTGCAAAATTATTGAAAGCGGTAACTTTCATATAATTGTAGTCCTCAGTAAGAATGCATTATCCAAAAATATTAAAAGCACAAAATACAAAGAAACCATTTCTCTTTGTTTAGCAAAAAGGCAAGGTTTAACATAAGAGCAAAATTATCCTAGAAACCTTAGTACTAGTATTAAATTTTATTGCATATTATAGTGAAGTTCGTATAATCTGCACACCACTGGACAAATGTTGTGTGGATCAGCGAATTTTACTTATAAACATAAAATTTTATGATTAACTTTTTTTAGTCACATACTTCAGTTTTCCCATTAAGCATGAGAGGCATGTGAAAGCAAAATTAAACTTTATAATAAAATATAATATTTATTTAAGCAACAGTATGTAATGAATCTCTTTTAAGATTAATAGTACCAGATGTCTCTGATTTTGATGGACTTTTATTCTCTTAGACAAATGTTGTTGTTTAGTACTAAAGTGTACATTTGGTTTCATCTGCATCCTTATCTTTATCATCATCCCTTGCTATTTTGCTGTGATTTTTAATGCTGTCTAAAAATCATATTACTCAAGACTTTTTGAAGTCTCTGAAGTCATCTAAAAATAGAAAATTATTATTTTCTCATTATTGCTAATTTGCCTATACTGTTTTCATGCTATTATTATGTATTATTATTTTATGAAAATAGATTAAAATGTTTCATTGGCCATATTTCTTACATTTGAAAATTCAAATTCATTGGTCTGCATTTATGTTATTATTCTTTTCAGAGAAGTTATTGCATCATCAATCTCATCACCCTTTAAACTACTGATTGTTGGTTTTTGAATTATGGGTATAGATTGTGGGTCTTCTATTGAATCTAATCCCACAGGAATAAATCTGTCCATCTCAGAAGAAAAAATAGTTTTATGTTTTAATTTATGTTTGATAACTGGAGAGTGAGCTGGCAAATTATCAATAACCAGAAAAATTTTGCATTTCTGTGCTGTCATACAAATATCTCATTCTGTACTCCTTTTTTTTTTTTTTTTAAATTTCAAATACCATCCACAATTTCTTGTTAAAATCATGTTCAACTTTGAAGATTTAATTCATGTTAAACATCTTGGAATTTATTTTATTCTTTCTGATAAGTAAAAATTTTATAATACTTTCACTTCTGCTGTTTGCTTATAGCTTAATAATCATTCTTATCTATCTGTTTACCTACAAGTATTACTGAATATTGATTATTGATTGAGGGAAGAAGCGATGTAAAAATAATTAGATCATTATTTTGTGTGTGCATGAAATATAAAAAATGCTATCCTTCTTTACTTTACAACACTTTAAAAACATGTATTTATAAAGTAAGTATAAAAAAGAAATGATAAAAGGTTTTAAATATATCAAAATTCATGTTGAAAGAAATACAGTTTTACACTATATCTACAAAATTCTCTGCCTGAACTACATTTCAGTAGCCGTTGGTCATAGACATGTACACAGCACCGGGGGAAGGGGGGGAGACAGTTCTATATCTCCCGTTCTGTTGGGCTGATTGACAAAATTCAAATTGTGTTTTTCATGTCTCAAAAGCGTTACTTAGGATATATATTAGATTTATATATAGCATTGTTCTAACATAGGTATTTGGATACAGAATGAGACTTTTCTGAAGTAACATGCCAATTTTTTTTTCCGTATTTTGATTCTACGACTCAAATTATGCCTAAATATTAAATTTTGTATAATTTGGTATGAAATTTACGGAGAAATTCAACAATTTATATTGGCATAATTTTTTCAGTTTGCCAAAATGGAAAAAAAGGCACCTCTTTCCTATCTTTTTACATTGCAGATAAGTAGAAAAAAGTCACATCGCTTCTACTTTCAAATAATTTTAACAAAGTATGTAAACCACATTTTCGTTATTATCGCTTTCAACAAATATGCCAAATTTTAAAATGTGCCAATATATAGATTCACATATATCTTCGGAAATTTTGAATAAAAAGCTCTAATTTTTTGCAGGTATGCTTAGAAATTAATGTACCTTAAGATGATTGTAAAAATTTTATAGGTTATAATCCAAATTTTTTTTTTGAAAAATTTCAAAAAATTATTTAAAAATACAAATTTCAAAAATAAAGAGTAAAAATGGGGGAATTTTTATTTGGAATGAACCTAAATTTCCAACTGTGAAAGAAGGGATCAAATAAGTGCAATAAAAAAAGAGGTATGAATGAATTCATGCCAAATTGAATTAACATTGAGGAGCTAAAATTTTGAGAAGTAATTTTTTAAAAACTACTCGCGTGAATTTTTACAAAACTTAGTAGTTTGGCATAATTTGAGTCGTAGAATCGAAATATGAAAAACAATTTGGCATGTCATTTCATAAAAAGTCTGATTTTGTGTCAAAATACCTATGTTAGAACAATGCTATATATAAATCTAATACATAACCTAAGTCGCTCTTTCAAGACATGAAAAACGCGAGTTGAATTTTGTCAACCAGCCCATTAGAATGGTAGATGCAGAACTGTCCCCCCCTTTTTTTGCGCAGTATACTTTATAAAATGTTTTAATTGACAAAGATATTCTTGATTTGGTATTTTTAAAATTAAAAAAAAAAAAAAAAAAAAAAAAGAAAAGAAAAGAAAAAAAGTAATAAAAATTACAAAATCTAACTTTTTATGTAGTTTTCTGTTTTATATGCTTATATTTAGAAAAATTTTAGGCTTTGTATGCCAAATGAAACACGGAAAGTTTGATGAAAATTAACTGAGATATTTCATTTCAAAATTTGGGATATTTAACGTTAGTTCCAGCTTACTTTAGGAATCGGTTAATAACTAAATTAAAATAATTCAATTTTCCATTTTTTAATACTTTTTTGTTTGTTTCTGTCAGGGCTTGCAAAGGTGGATGTACAGTTCAATATCATCATGTGTAATTTTTTTTGTGTTTGGCTGAAAGTAATTTAATATTCTGTCACATTCTCAGTGTTCAAAAGACAAACGAATTTGAGAAATACATGAAATAACTTAGTGTCAGTGACATAATACTGTATAGTACTGAAGCCTTCTTTAACAGCATGAGTTTACTTTTGTTTTCCATAAACATCAATAGTCCCATGGCTCCTTCCTAGTAGTCACTCTGGCATTTTTTACATAATTTATTAACCTTTGGTAAGCAGTTTTGGTTAATTGCAAAGAATTCCAAATGTTTTTCATATTTTACCAGTTTGTTATTTGACATTCCGTTGAACGCCTAGTCAATGAGGGAAATGTGTAACCATTTCATACATTGCCGGCCAATTCTCGGCATTCTATAGAATGCTGGATTTCATACTTTGTCAGTAACATATACACATAGAGAGTTAAAAATTTTGCAATCAATCTGTTATGGGCCTTGAGACATTTTATTTATGACATGATATGAAAAAAATGTATTGTTAGTCATAAAAAGTAGATAGATAATATGTAACATTTTTCTCTTAATATGTGTGCAATATGTCTTTTTCTATTGTACTCAAAATTAAAGAAATTTCTCTAATTGCAATGTTATATTCCTGATTTTTCTAAAATATCAGGTTAAGTTTACATTAATAATTTGTAATAAAACAATAATTGTAAAATATGAGTTGATGTAGTACTACATTATTGCTGCTGAGACTGTAAGGCACACTGTAAGTTTTTGCAAGATAATAATTTTTTTCAGTGATTTAAAATATATGGCATATAATAGAGCTTTTGTTGTGGAAAATTAAAAGCGAGCTAGTAAAGATGTAAACTATAACTACATTAGTTTTTATTTTTCTGAATGCAAGTATCCAAGGTGGGGGAAAGCAAGACTCTCCCTTTTTTAATTATCTTTTATGATGATTTTTTAATTTCTTAATGAAATTCAAAGGGATTTAAAATTATAGCAATATCTCTGTAACATGTCTCTATGGATTTCCAGATAATTTTAATCTTCTGTGGAGGTAGTCACCATAGAGAGGGCATGTTCTATACTGATGTTTATTTACACTGACAGAAATATTCAGAGATGACTTTATGTAACAGGACTGCCTCCACAAAAGGGTTCACTATATTTTCTGTTTTATAATGTGTTTAAATGCATTTAAATTTTGTTAGACTTGTTTTGAGTGAAACAAATCTGAGGAATTAAAATACAAAAATTTAAATGCCTATGTTTTCCAAAAGTTAATGAGCAATTCTTTTTAAGATGAAAACAAAAGATCACAAAAAAGAAAAAATGAAGAAGAGAGGGCGAAAAGAAGTGGATAAGACTAAAGATAAGAAGGAAGAAGTTAAAGAAAAAGAAAAAACTAAACCCAAAGAAAAGCCAAAGGCAAAGGAAAAGGCAGAGAAAAGTGTAAAAGTTGACAAAAGAAAATCAAAACCAGAGAAAAAGAAAATCAAGGACAAAGAGGAAAAGGTGAGTAATTTGTAACTAATGAAATAATTTTATGAATACTTTAAAATATTGAAGTTTCAAATAAATTCATTTAATAATGTAATTTTTTTATAATGTAATTAAAAATGTAAAACAGTTTGTCTGTTTCCTTCCTAAAGTTAAAAAACAAATGTAATTTTCCTCAGTATTTAAAAATATAAAGTTCTTACCTATTGTTTATTGAAAAAAAAAAGTGTTGCATTTTAAATAAAAAATCCATAACTTAAATTTGCGATTTACTCTGTAAACAAGATAAACATGCTTGGAAAGGTGCAATTTTCTTCTAATAAATGCTAATAGATATTTCAACTTTGATTAAAAAGTATTGTGGGGTATATCATGGAAGAATCTTTTAACCATTTCATATTAGTTGGAAGTGAAGCTTGCCAGTTTATGTATATTACAGTCTGTTTTGAATAGCATTTTGTAGCTTTTTTAATGTGATAAAGGAATACAATATGGTCTCATCAATAGATGGAAAAATGTCTGCTGGTATTGTGAAAAATGACTTCATATTTAGAATATACAAGGTCTATTGCTATTGTTCTTTTACATAATCACAAAAAACAATCCATTTAAATTAGTCGTGACAGGCACGTCTCTTGCAATCAATGGGAATGAAAGACCATTTTGTTCGTTGACTAACACACTAATTGCACCAGAAGAACTAAATACAGTTGGGCCATATTTTGAAAAGAAATAGCTGCAGAGGTGTTTATATCTTTGAAAAAGATGGATGTACATTATAGGTATTTGTTTATACTTTCAGAAATTCTAGTTGTTTTTGGAAGTATTCATCATAGGAATGTAATAGCCATAAGAGAGTTCAGTATGGCTTTTTGTAAAATTTTAAATGTTCAGAGATATGGTTTTGAAGTTATTGATTAATTTCAAACCATATGAAAGTATAGTTGGTGATTTTCTTTAAAAAGCCTAACTTTGCAACTTTGATCACCTTGTTTCTTAAAAATATTAATTTTAAACAAATGATTTGGCTTCCTCAGTTACCAAGTATGAAACTGTATTAAAACTGCAACTTTTTTATAATATTAATTATAGCTACACACTTTTTTGGGGGGTAGTACAATATTTTTTTTCCCAAATTTAGTAAATTAAGATAAGATGCTCATTTTGATCACTGTCTAGTTGAGGTAGTATTATACTCATACTATTGTCAGAGGCATCTCTTTGTATAATATTTTTTTTTTCATAGCTTTTCATAGCATTTTTTTTTTTTTTTCCAAGAGCATAAAGAATGTGTTTTTGCATAGCAACTCTTAAATTTTTAAAAGCTTGGTGTTACATTTTTCAGACTATTCTGTTTTTCCCTTTTTTGTTACCAAAGTATTGGTGAGGAGTGAAGCAATTTCAGAAAACCTCTTCATGTATTGCTATAATATCCTATTGGTCCTAAAAAAGCACATGTTTCTGTTTTGGTCTTACATGTAAGATAATCCATTACAGTCAAGATTTTTATTACATCTAGAGTTCTTCATCCTTGTCCTAAAATATTGCCTAGACCACTTGATCTTGTGCAAATTTAGATTTTGATAGTTTTAGTCATAAATTTGCTTTCTGTATTCTGTGTAGGAGAGAGGCTAAGTTTTTAAAGGTGCTCTTTTCAGTTTTATGAGTAAATAGCACTGTCAGCCAGATATGTACAACAAGTTCTTTGCCTCCAGCCAGAGCCGTAGTCTTAACTTTGCTAAAAAAAATATAGGGCATTCTTTAATCCAAAGAGCAGACATAGAGGTCTAAAGCTTCCAAAACTAGCTACAAATGTTACATATCTTTGGGCTTTTTTTGTTAGTGAAATTCACCAGTAGCCTGTAGATCAGTCTAGCAGCAAAATATGTTTTGTGTTAACTACTATTTTGGTGCATTCTTCAGTATTAGGTAAATAGTATTCTGGTCTGGTAACAGCATTTAGTTTACGATATGATAAAAGATGAAGATCCTTTGATGAAGTTCATTAAAATCATGGGAGAGATACAGTCTGATTTCCTAGTCTGTATAATTTTGAGACTGAAATTTTTCTGAATTTCCTTTTTCAGAATTTCAGTCTGTGGGGTGACAGTTGGTATGGCTTTATTCATATTGGTTCAATATTTAAAAGCTCAGTATCATGGCTGACTAAATTAGTCCTTCCGGTATTATTTGTAAAACAATCAAAATATTTCCATAAAATCTTTCATAAGTCTTCTATTTGTTCAGGTAGCAATCTTTTCTTGAGCTCATTCTCCACTATGATTTCTTTAATATACTTGGATTGGAAGGCAAATGAGGGATGTCCATTTCTGAAGTCGGTAAAGTCGCTGAACACTGGTAGTTCGGTCTGAGGTTCGAATCCCGCGAACGGGCTGACTGCATGGGTGTTTTCGTGGTTTTCCCCATGTGTAACGTGTATACGAGCCAGTTTCCCTTAGAAAGTCCTCCACGAAGGCATCCCTCCCCTTAGGCAGATAGCCCTAGTGTGCTTTGCCATAATTAAATACACAACACAACACCATTTCTGAAGGGTCCTTCTACTTCAGTTATCACATTAATCATTTCTGGCCTTTTTAAATATGGTTTAAGCATGTTAATGTGATATACTCAGTTTGGCTCATTTTATCCCCCGAAAGTTAGAACATAATTAATTTTTGAAATTTTCTGCTGTATTTTCCCAGGGCTCTTTCATTGCAATTCTGTGTTTTTTTTTTTTTTTTTTTTTTTCATGATTTGTAATTAAAACTAGAACTAAACCTCCTCTAGCAAATTCTCTTTTTACTGTGTTTCAATTGTATTATTTTATTTATTTATTTATATTTTTTTGTGCTGATCGCCTTTCATGTGCACAGTGGCCAGGTCTTGACATTTCTTTATTCGATTAATAAGTTCAAACATGTAACTGGCAATATTATTCCTTTGGTCAGTTCCACCTACTGTTAATAATGTAAAGTGATTGGCATTCATAGGTTCCCCCCCCATAAACTAGTTTTGCTGGAATGAAACCAGTACTTTTGAGTGTGACTGTTCTGGGGGTAAAAAGAGCAACTAGTAGATACTATTTCTTCCAATCAGAAGCCACTTCTGTACATACAGGTCTTAATATTCTTTTCAGTGTTCTGTGAACTCATTCAATGGTATTACTCTGCAGATAATAAGCAGAGCTTCTTACATATTTAATGCCAAAATGCTCCATAAATTCCACTCACAAAGGAGATACCCTGAATTATTTTCATCACCTTTGCGAAAACCCATGTGACTGAAGATCTGTAAAAAAGCATCAGTCACACAGGGTTCGTAGCGGTCCTTACAAGTGCTTATAAGTCCTTATATTTGAAAATAAAATATAAAGTCCCTTATAGGTGCTTACTTTTTCTTTAAAGCCCTTATTTTTTGTTTTTAGTGCTTATTTTTTGCTTTTAGTGCTTTTTTTTTAATGAAGGCGCTATTTTTCCCCGTATCAAAGCCGAAACTAAATAAACAACTTTTCTTCCTAATATGGAATGTCAGATGGTGAGTCATACTCCCGGAAATAGCTTTTCCCCCTTTCTCTGCATTAACATAACCTTTGGTGTGCACAAAGAGTAGACAGGTGCCCGTCGTTCTATTGGTCAAAGAATTGCGAAAGCAGTAGAAAAATCCGCTACATTCGGCATTCCTTTCCTCCCACCCAAATACTACACACGTTTGAATTTCTATCAAGATCTTAAAAAGATTTGCATTCTCGTTCTGCTTGGTCAGTTCATATTCGTGTTTATTATGATTGTTATGCTTATATTATGAGCATATGTATGAATGTTTATAATAACATAGTTGCATTAACTGCTGAAGTATAGTAAACTTCCAAAAATGATTGTGTTTTAATACAGATTAGCTTTCTAAGGAATAATATTCGGAATGGCTTAAATAAAGGGAAAGTAATCGAATAGTCAAAATAGTTTCATTTTTTTGGCCAATACATTATACAGTACGAAGGTTGGGAGGTCTCCCCTTTCTCCGCAAAATCTTGAATATTGAAACTGTTGCAGTTCGCTGCAAAACAAGCAACGGACCTTTTTTTTGGGGGGGGTCACTTTCCAATCTGGATTGAATAGGACTAAAAGTTCTGCGGTCTCCCAAAACCAAGCGAAGAATGATTCTATTCTATTCGGAAAATTTAACGCCGTCTGTTGAAAATTAGAATGAAAAAACACTCCAGTTATTTAGTTCTTTTTTTCTCCCAATACCAACAGTTGTTGAGTCCAATCGCGTAATATCACGTAGGGAAGAATTACGGTGCACGTATTGCGCAATAACGTTTGCGATATTTTGAAGAGATAATTAATTTTGATGTTCAGTCCGAGATTTGTTTATGAGCACTTAAAAGAGTTTTACTGTGCTTGCTAAGCGGAACATTTCTTAGTTCCGTTAGGTTTATTTTTATATGATGCACATATTGAAATGTCAAAAGCATTTATTTAGCGGAAAAATCTAAAAATCGGCCACAGTCTACCCCCCCTCCGCTCCTTCAAGTTATGCTCGACTGTCCGAATATTCGCCAATTTCCAAGTATGCGGGTTAGTTAAGATTTTACTGTTAAAGATGATTGCATGAAGCAAATTTCTGTCTTCTGATTTCAGAAATGTACCTCTTTTTTACTTAAATTACTTTGCTTGTAATATCTGTTAAGAGAAAACTGTTATACAGTGAAAATTTAGAAAATGTTCAGAATTTAGATTTAAATTATTTAAACATCAATAGGAGTGGAAAAATAAATTGTATTTATAATTAAGTTCCAAGCGAATACAATAAATATTGCCTTATTATTATTTATTTTCTCTATTTTGAACTGAAATTTCATCATTAAATCTTGTAATATAGTTTAGTTCTTCATAGTTTTTTTTTCTCTCATTGTAAACTAGCTCTGTAAATTGAACTATTATTTAAATTTAAAAACAAAAAAAGTAATTATTTTCCATGGTTTAGGTAATGCTTATTCTCTCTTAATAAGTACTTCATTTCTCATATTTTTAAATTAGAAGTCTAATTTTTAAGGTTATGCAGTTGTGTATGATGTAATTAGGCAGGTACTTATTTTTTTTCTTAAAATGTGCTTGAAAAGTGCTTATAGGTGCTTATTTTTTTAACTAAAATGTGGCTATGAACCCTGGTCACAAATGCCGAAGAAATTTTTGTCACTGCTATGGCATCTGGATATTTGGAAGACGTACATATACTTTTTACAGTCCTTGAAGTAGGTAGTGGACCAACATTATCAAAATTTATTTTAGTAACTATTTCAGAAATTATTGGTACTAACATCATTGGAGACTTTTTCATTATTTCCTTTCTCGCCATTCAAAGAAGCATCACAGATTTTTACAGACTGTTTGGTTTCTTTGTAACAACTCTTTCAATAAAAATTTCTGAACAGCCTGCCCTTGAGTCTTTTTGATATCAAACGTCCAAATATTCCTTCGTGGCACATCTTTATCAGTTGAGTTCAGGTATAACCAAAAGTTGCCTTTTGTAGCTCATTTTATCCATTATATTTTTAGCGAAAATGTCTTTTCTATCAGACAATAATTCTCATTTTTGCATGTATCTTTAGATTAATTTAAATTTTATTTAAACTTAAGTAAATTTTATTTTATTTAAAGTTTAGATCATTTTTAGGCAGTTACATATCAGTGTTTTGAAGATGTGCAACTTCTTTTGAGTCAGTGTTTATTAATTTAATGAAAGCTTCATCTTCCTTATTTAATGACAATAATTTAACTTATGAAGTTTCCTAATGAAGGTTTCCTCTTCATTGCATTTAGCTATTTATCTTTTCTTTTGAGCTCTAGTGACAGCATTTACTTGTTGAGAATTACTGTCAGATTCTTTCCTTTGTTTATTGAATAGCGCAATAGTTGCACTTTGGCAGCTGAATAACTTTGTGAATGATTGCCTTAAAATTTTATAGCAAGGGTGAACTTTTCTGATCATTCCCTGAACAGTTCATGCTTCATTTGGTGCTCTCCGGATTTTCTTTATTTCAAATTAGGGTGGCGCATAAACTTTTATAACATATTCGGCTAGTAGCTTCAAGTCATCTGTTGGTTCGGCGGTTGAAACATAAAGGTGAAGAATTCTGTTGGCTGGGAAAGGTTTCACATCTTGAGGAGGCCATCTTCCCATTACTCCCCCGAGGATACTGCCTTTGAAATATGAAGGAAGTATTTTGGGGCAGCACTGAGTTTTTTTTTTTTTTTTTTTTTTTGTCAATTTCGGATATATAAATTAGAATAGGGGCATAACCTGTTACGTGAAGAGTTTCATATGTTTTCAGGGATTCCAGATGTATTTCTATCAGTCATCTGGGAAAGTTGACAGAGAGGTAGTTCATTGGTGTGCAACAAGCATACAAACCAATGCAGCTTATGACCAACAACATTTCTCAAGTCATTTAATTGCAGTTTTTCTTCCCAGTGATGACACAGCAACTAGGAAAATTCAATCCCTTTCTGTATAACAATGTCGGTGACGCTTTGCGTAATATCTGCACTGGATCCAGAATCCCTGTCTTGGAGGTTGAAGGAATTTGAAAATCAGTTGCTTTCAGATGTTTGGCTTCTTGACTAACATAATCATTGTCGTCATCTGCAGGGGATGTCTTCTGAATCAGACTCTAAGATGGCATTGGCTTGAGTCTGTAATCATCAGAGACAAACGTGCATTTTCTTATCTTTATATGCCATTGCTTTAAATTCCTGATTTTCCTTTCTTTGTTGTCCAATTTTCGGCTTTCAGAAACATCAATTCTGCCATCATGATGATATTTTAGGATATTTTGGTATTTTGGTGTGGGAAGCTATTTCTCTCACTAATAATAATCAGTTTTTGATAAAGCAATTCATGAAAAAATATAAAACCATTAAAAAAGTCAGTACGGATATTCACCTGAGGTGCGGAACTTCAAGATGTCAGTATTTTAGGCTGAAATTTGAATTTTTTTTTTCCCCCGCATTTGGAACTATATAATGACTCAAGCAATATGAATTTAAAAAAAAAAAAAGTTTTTGCATTCCACCCTACTGTGCACTTCACACATTGGGGTTTGAGGCGACATACTTTGGAAGAGTGATTGAGTGCTGACAAATGTGGCATTGTACAGCACCTTCCTTTATTTTATAGGGAACTACAGAAACATTAAAATACATAATATGTTTAATTTCACCTGGAACTCTTTTGAGTTGGATTTGATATAGTGGTAATGGAGCTTTTGTCTTATGCATCTGCACAAATTTCTTAACCTGAAATCATAAAGTATTAAATGCCTCCTCAATTTCGTCGACTGGGATATCAATTGGAAGTTCCCTACACATATCCTTAATTGGCTTTGGCTTCCCATTTTGCTTCTGTGTTTTAAACCATTTAACACAATAATTACTAAATTTATCTGAGTGGCCACTTTGTTAGTGCCATAAAAACATACTTCCTATTGAAATCTTGATACTAATATGAAATATTTTTGAATAGTAACAATTACAGTAATATTTTCATATTACATATACAGTAATATTACAGTATAGAGTAAATATACAGTCAATATACAGTAATATTACAGTAATAATTTTTATAATCTATATTTTATAAAGCATTTACAGTTATCAGGCGTCATAACATATTTGTATCAAAGTAAAATATACTTGTAATGTAAATTTTTTTATATAATACATTGGACTCATGGCTTATAAGCTTCAATTGTAAGTTATCTTGCTTCTCATAAATTCATCAGATTACATTAATTTAAAGTGCTTTATTGGTTAAATTCAGCTTCAACCACAGAAGCAGAAGAATGTTAAATAAATAAATAAAAAATAGTACTGTTATACAAACTTTAGAGTAGTTATACCATGTCTTCAAAATAATTAATTTATTTTTGAGTAATGCTTCTGATTTGATATAACATGCATGTTTTATAAGTTCATAAAAAATTTGGTATTTATATTTAGATAAAAGTGAAAAACAGCTGCAATGAATCAAGAATTTGTGTATTTTGCAGATCTTCAAATCTCTTCCTGAAACCGTGGTTTACTTCTTAAAAATGAGTAACAAATATCTTTAAATCATCTTCACTAATATTTTTATTTTCTTCATTATTCAGTTATTGAAAATTTATAAAATATTTGAAATTCAACTAATTTAGGTAATATAATTTAAGAGATATATTAAACTAAGAAATATGTATTTCAGCTACAAATATAAGTGAAATTTTAGGTTATGTTCTTTTCCTTTAAACATTAAAATTTGTAACGTCTTTCTAAAGACTTTCTGATCACTCTTTTGATCGATTGCCCTTTCTTCTGAGAGTATACATCCATTGCTTGGGTAACCCATGATTTGCAGTGCAGCATATAGGCTGATACCACCACTATACAACATACTCCCACATTCTATCCATAATCTCAAAAAAGGCTAAACATTGGACAAAATTCTTCCTTTTTTAATTGCTTCTTCTTACATGGAGGAGGAGGGCATATGCATGATGTATTCCATATTATTATTATAGAATGGTAATAGTAATAATAATAATAATAATAATTTATTTTTTGTTTTACTGCTTAATTACTTGTTCATTTATGTAAAATTTTGTTACAGGTGAAAGAGGATAGCACTGTGCCAAAAATGACATTAAAAGTTTCAGGTGGTACAGGTTCAATGACATTAAAACTTTCAGGTGGTTCAGGTTCTGCAAAAATGTAAGTTCTTATTTAAAGTTTGTGAGCAGCTTTTTCTATCTTCATTAGTTAGTCATCCTTTCAGAAAAATCTTCCTTTATATATATTTTATGTAAATGTGTATTAAACATAAATTTAACATGAAAATAGTGTTAAATAGCCCCCCTCCTTTTTTTGTGTCTGAGTGAGTGCATGTCTATTTTAAATTAAGGCAGATTTTAACCTACATTTTTATGTTATGTATAATACTTTGGTAATGTGCTTTTGATTTGCATCTAGATTTCAAAATATATTTATCCTCAATTTTAGAAGAATATAATAATAAAAATAGTAATACAGATAATTCAAATCATTATACCTTTAAATAAAACAGCTCTTAATAATATTGAAGTAATTGTAGCAATTATAATGATCGTTATCTTCAGAAAGGGATATTTCAACTAATATGGGGAGACATATTATCGTTGTTTAAAATATTAAATATATATATGATATTTCCTTTCCTCCTAATAATATTTCATTATAATATGTACAGAGATTTATTCATTATAATAGAACAGAGGCTGTTCACACATTTTTTAGATGATGTATATTGTATTCACAAAACTAAATTACGTAAAATTCTTGTGTTTTAAATGTTCTATTTGACATCCCTTATTCTGAAATATCTTTCGACACCGCAATTTTCAGGATAATGCCTTTTGAAGTGGCAGAGGAGGTATTCTATCCCATCCCTCCCGAACAGCTTTCCAGAGTCCTGTTAGGGTTTTGGGACAACATTTGGATAATGCAGTTTTTAAAAGTCCGAAAGCACAAAAATCCATAGGTGAGACATTGGGAGATTTAGTAGGGATATCAGTGAAGAGTATGGCCTTGATACCAGTTTTTTGTTCCATTTCTTTTAGGAAATTTAGAGTGGATTTTGATGTGTGACTGCTAGCTTTGTCCTGGTGGAGTCTCACAGATTGATGGCACTGTGAGTAAAGCGATGGTATTTCATTCAGAAAAATTGGCGATAAAATATGTTCCTGATAGTATTTGGAGCTAATCATGACATTTTTTTTGCACTCTCTTTATTTTTAACTTGCCATTATAAGAAAAACCAGCAGCAATCATGAATCCCTTAGAAAAACTTTCTTTCGATTCTTTGAACCATGTACTTAAATTTTTTCTCTCCTTTTATGATAATAAATGGCTCTTTTTTTGTTACAGTCATTTAAATACACCCATGCTTCATCTATTGTGACAATTGTTTTCCATTTTTCTTTGGATAAGTGTTTCTCATATAGAATTCTGCAGCGTGTCCTGCGTTGAGCGATATGCTTTGGAAGAAGACGATGCACATTGCATTTTTTCGCTTTCTTAATATTTAAATCAACGTTTATCATTTTGTTTACAGTGGACATCGAGCATTTTAATGATTTTGCAACTGTCTTTTGACTAGGGGGATTTTCTTTTAACATTAAACAGCACACCTTTGCAATAGTCGAAGATGTCCGTTTTTTCCTTGGATACTTGTTTAGAATTTTTGTCCCACTTGAGGCTCCAATTTGATGCTTTTTCCTTTCTTGTTGATGATATTACCTATCGATGCTTTAGATATCACAAAACCATGACTCTCACATCGTTTTGGGATTACGGAGTATGCATGTTTCTCTTCGGAAAGAGCATAAATGTAGCCTTCGAACCACTGCTGTGTTAAATTCGCCATTTTGAATAAAAACAAAACTTTCAAGCCACAGACGATAATTTTGACTTAATTGGAATTACTTCTTTTGCAGCAAACGATTTTTTTATTACCGATTACCAAAATCGTCTAAAAAAATGTGCAAACAGCCTCTGTATTATGAAATTTAACTGGAGAATTTTTTAGGGGAGGGTGAAGAAAAAACATTTTATTTCTGCAAAGTCAATACAGATTAAGCTTCACATGCTAAATTACTAATACAAATATACAATCATATAATATTTGTAGCTTCGTAAGGCATTGTATTAGCCTCAGAGGTAGTCTCTCACTTTAAGTTGCCATGGGGGCTTCCCCTTTTACTAGTTGATTAAATATTATTTCCTGGTGGATTCATTCAATATCTTAATTCCACTAATTGTGAAAAACATAAAAGCAGTTAGCACTAATTTATTTAGTCAAAATACCCAGTATTCAGTTGGCATTCATGATTCTACTACAGCTATGTTGAAAATTTTAGATGTCGGAAAAAAAAAAAAAAAAAAAAAACTAGCAATTTTATATATCTTTATGTTTCCCTTGATTTATCTCAAGTGTTATTTTTTTGCAACTGCCAATACTGTCACTACCATTGCTGCTGCACTGATAAATAGAACAGACATAATAATAATACTTGGATACATACATGAGGAGAAGGAGCTCATAGTACAAAATCATCTTGTTCCTAAATAGCTAAAAGAATGTGCCCATACTTCTGATGCTTCAGATAACAGATGATGCTGAATGATCCATTACTTTGAGGTTTAGATGTGATGTTCCCATACACTGCAGTTGTATCCCTGAGTTATATCAGGAGGATTATGAGAACAGGAAAATCTTATAATCTTCCAACCACATCCATGCCATGAAATAGCCCAATATCCACCTATTTTCATATACCAGAAATTTTATCTGATATATCTAAACAATATTCTTAACATCGTCTGCGAATGTTACAGAAATTTAATCTATGACCAAAGCATATCTTTCCAATATCAAAATTTTTTTTGTTGTCCTTGTGTACAAGAATCCAGTACAACTTACAGTTTTTTAAGACTTGGTATACTCCTTAAGAATATACAAAATACTTTTTATGATATACAAGAATATTTCAAACTGGAAAGTGCTTGGAATACTCTTAAGAATATTTTTTTGAAAATCATAAAATAATCCGATGAGATACACTGGAATATTCCAAACCATTTGACAGTGTTCCAACAATGCTATAGAAAAATATGGAATGAAAATAGAATATCCCTGGGATATTCCATGATATAGAGCAAAAGTGTGAAAACTACAACTAAGTGAATTATTTCATTCCATTTTTTAACATTGCAAGGTTTGTTATGCAATGACTTTCTTAAATTCTTTATTAAAATTAGTTTCAGGAATAAAGCGTCATTCATTTTCTCATTGATATTACTTGCTGGTGGTTGTAGGAAAGATGGGTACTTTCTGATTAACTGAACTCCCAGAAAAAAGTACCAATAAATATTGCCAACTTTGTGAATTGGTGAAAGTATTTGTTTAGCTTGTTTATATCTCTTAAGTTCAGTTCCATTCATAAATAATAATAAAAACAATTATATTTTAAAAAAGATTTTATAAGAAGGGATGAAAACCTATATGGCCAATATTTGCATTTATACTGCTTAGCCATATTTGGCGATAACTCGCCCATTTGGCGACAAAATTGGCAATATGCCACAGACGGAAGGAGAACTTTTTAGAAGGAATTCTTAACAGTTTGGATCAGAATATTCTCAAAGGGGGCCAAAAACCTATATAAACCGTGGCTGCAGGTGGAGTAGTAGTCAGTGCCTCTTCTAGCAAGTTGATCGTCAGTTTAGTGTCGAGATGGTCGTCAAGAGTATCATGAGTCTAGCAAGTACATCATTGAGTCTATCAAGTGTATTGTCAAGTGCATCGCGAGTTACAGCGGGGAGAGTCTCGAGAGTATGTCTAGTTCCAAGAACGACTGAACAGTCGGGAATTGTTCTCTGGTGCTTTGCTGTGAAGCTGTCTTCACCATTATAGCTTGATAGCCTGAAGGCTGTGTTGCTGATTGTTTCAGCATGTTTATAGTAGTTTTTCGACAACTGTAAATGTGATTTTGGAACTGTCATGAGTAACATTGGCTAAATAAATTGTGTCTGATTCTTCATCAAATGTTGTCGTTAATCTCTCCAAATCCACGAAACCTGTAAATAATGCAAGAATATAAATCCAAATGTACTCAAAAAAGTTTATGTTATGTGCATTATTGAATTGGCTGTTGATGTGTGTATATTCAAAAATGGCACCAGAAAAATGAAAGTTTTATTAAATATTCAGGGGTGACTGTGGTCCAGATATAGCTGAAATTCCAGATGTTTTATTTTCTCACATGTGGAATTTCTGGATTTGGGAAATGTTGACTGTAGTAATCTTTAAAATCTAAACTTTTTTTGAAACTTTGTTTTAGAACAAATTATTCAGAGATTACATAAATGTGAAACTTGTAGACTGTATAAAGTTCATTGAGAGGTTAAACGTGTCATGCGAGCAAAATAAGTTTGTCTTATACAGAATGGGGGGGGATTGATATCAAGAAGTTTGGGGCTAAGGTATTCAGATTGAAAGAAGATAGGAAAACAGAAATTGATAAGAATTGAGCAAATCTGTTTCAACTTGTTTCCGTGGACCAGTTTTTAAGTTAATTTAATTGCATTTAATAATTATGTCAGAATGAGGAACATCTGTATACAATAATGGCTTAGATGCAACACAGACTGATATTATCTGATGATTATGATAAAGGTTTTAAGGAAATTTATTGCATAACTGGACAGTTTATCCAAATTCTTCATATTCCATGGACTATTCTTTCTGTCAATTCCTTATATCCAGTACCTGTTAATATGCTTATAGTAAAAGTTCTAATCTAATATTTAAAGGGCTGGACCCTCATCCCAGAAGAAAAAAAATTAAAAAGTTTAACTTCTTATATTTTTTAATGTTAAAAAATTGTGATTAAATGTAGTGAAACATAATTAATTTTCAATGAATTGGGGAAAAATACACTCTTTGCTTTGCTAGTGAAATAGTTTCAAAATATGTATGTCTGCATTATGTATGTTGCATATGTGAATATTCTGAATGATCTGAAATTAGTTTGATTTTTCTGCACAGTATTTTCCAGCATTTTTTAAATGGGGTATTAATCACCCCTGAAACTGGGATTGGATATAATCAGAAAGTACTAAGAGATGTTCTAGTTTGTTAATCAGAAAAGTGGCCATTTAATGTTGATATTAAATTGGAGTTAGCTATCAGGTATTTAGTAAATTTTAATTTTCAAGATCAGTAGTTTTAATGTATAATTCATTGGAACAAAAGCTATTTATAGATCAATAATAATGCGTAAAATAAAAGAAAACATAATGGTAAAAAATTCAGTGAAAAAGTATTTGTTATTAAAAATAAACTGAACATAGTTTTTCTCTTTTTGATGTGTTAGTTTATTTCATAAAATACAGAACTATTACAAAGATGGTTTAGTTTTCAATAACATGTAAAAGGAAAATGCAGTAAAGGATACTGCAGATGAAACTTGAAGAAATATATGCGTGCAAAAATGAAGTGTTTTTCATAGTATTCTGTTTGGTGATGTATACAATCATTGTGTGTTACATTATTCAATTGACAAAATAGCCATAAGTAGGGAAGACATATTTTTTTTATCATGCTTATTTAGGCGTTCTAACATTTGCAATTTGTACAGAATGCATTTTACCTACCTTTCACAAAATTTTCCGATCTGCAGGCTGTATGAAAGTTTAAGACTCACCTTTAACTGTTGACTTTTTTGGGGAAGGGGTTGTTGAAAGGCATGAGAACATGTTCAGTATGTTCCTCAGATATGCAAGATCATCTAGGACATTTAGTTTTGAATAAACAATGTATACTATTAAATTTCTTATAACTTATTAAACTAATGCTTAACATAAGCTGAGAATACTGGATATCCTAGAAAGCATGTGCATCCACCAGACAATATAGGTCTAGCATTTCTGCCATTTTTAGTTTAGAAATGGAACAATGAATTATAAATATTGCTGAAGTAAAAAGACTGATCATTAAAGGGAGCATAGAGCAAGAATATTTCACCTCTAAATCTTTATTTATAAATGACACAATATACATGTCAATAATTTGATTACCGATAGGAACAGAGCCCTCATTTTAGCATATTTGGTGAAAATGCAAATTGCCAGTAACTCTTACATACTTCCTCTGTTTCTAAAAAAAGCATTAAAATAATCAATCACACCCAACCTATGAACCAACCTGAAGAATAGAAAGCAGTTTTCTTGGAGCATTTTGCTCAGTAGAGAATTGTCAGCAGTAAGATTTTCATGTCCCCGGAGATTGAGAATTTTCTGTCTCTCTCATGTTCAGCATGAATGTTTTGTTTTTAATTTCCGTTAAGAGTACAGTTATGAAAGTTCTTATTAAATTATATATGTATTAAATCTGATATTTAAGGGGGATTCCCATTTATTATTGCTTTGGGTTCTTCCAAATAATGAAAATAGTAAAGTAACTTACAACATTACTGGAAATAAAGTCCATTTATCCTTTAGAAGTATATTTCTAATAATACTTTTTTATACCATTGCTTTGTTTTGAGTAGCTTTTTCTAGGAGTGCTTTACCAAAATTAATTATCCATTATTTTCTTTGCTATCATTTGTACCTCCTGTTATCAAAAATAAGCTCTGATTTATCTTCAAAACCATCCCCATATGGTATAATCAAATTATTTAGTTCTTTTCCAATGATTTTATAATGCACTATTAGCATTGCAGCCTAGATTTAAAGTGAAGACTTCAATTAAAAGATTAAAATAAATGACTAAAATTTGAAGGTCTGTTGCATGCATTTCATTGAGCCATTATACATATCAGTGAAATAATAATTGTAAATCTCCTATAATGTTTAATATGAATTTAAACAATAGTAAATCTAATAAGTCTGTAAACATTAAAATTTGAAAATTTATATGAATTCCCTGAATTTTTTGCATAATTTTAATTGCCATATATATTATTGTTAATAAGCAAAACAAAGCAGACTGTTGAAAAAGTATTTGCTGGATATATTTTAGCATTTTATTTGAGTTATTTTATTTGCTTTGAATCAAAAGCTTTGAATTCTGATGGTTGTGTATGGAAATAAAGATATGCGTTTTAGAACTGTTGGCGTGTCAAGAAATGGGTATTTCGGTCTTTTAACTAAGTGAATATAATTTAAACAGTTTTTGAATGCAAACTGCAAAGGTACAGCTTAAATTCATAACTGAAATGTGCTGGAGCCAGGTTAATTCTTGGTTTGTAACTGCAATAATAATTTCAGCTGAATTTAATATTAGTTGGGGTTTTATATTTTAATTTGATATTTAACTGTTTATCCTTAATTTTTTTTTTTTTTTTTTTTTTTATTTTTATTTAGCTCTCTGCTTTTGTTGTAGTTTATCATTGTTTAATTTATTTACTTTCATTCATCTTTCTTTTGAAAAATTAGAAATTTTACAAGATTAAAATAGGGAGCCATTTTATATTTCATATATTATAGCTTTTTGAATGTGTTTCCTTATTTTTAATATTTACTTCCCTAATTCTTTTATTAACTCTTTCAAGAAATATTAATCCTCAGTAATAGTTTTATAATTAGAAGTTGTTGATCATCTAAATGATATTTATAATAATGTGAAATTTGTGACATGTTTTTCCATCCTTCTTTTTCTTCTTCTTCTTCCCCCCCTCCTCTTTTTTTATGGGAGTTGAATATAATTTATGTTCTGTTTTAATTTGTGATATCTTAAAAAATGCATGTCCTTGAAAGTATTGTAATCTTTTATTTATTGTTTCATCTATTTTGAAGCATTATGATATTTAATGAATTTTTATTTGTTAAAAAAGTGTGAAATAAGCATTTCCTGTAATTATTTTTGTTTTTGTTTATTCTTTCTTAGTACTGAAATTAATATGGTGATGGCCTTTTTTTTTATTGGGGGCAGAAAGCATGTTCTTGTTTTCTTTGAGGGAGACTTAATCTCTCTTTGCATGGTGCATTATTTTTTCTGCATGCTTTTTGTGTTTAATTTTCCATTTTTATTCTCCCCTTCTAGCTTTGTTAAACCTAATTCAAAAACTTCCACACCATTATCTAGCAGCTCCTCACCATCAAATGTTATGGAGGATGAGAATGTTCCATCGCCATCGCCAGTGGCTCATGTTCCAACTCCTTCGCCACCACGTGTCCCAACACCTCCGCCACCACCTCGGTTACCAACTCCGCCACCTCCTGTACCTTCACCTCCACCTGTTAAAGAAATTAAAGAGCCAAGTCCTCCACCAGTTCCACCACCACCTGTCACCACCAAAACTACACATTCCAGGGGCCGCGGCCGAGGGAAGAAAGCTGCAGTACAAGCTGCTGTTCCACCTGCACGAACAGTTATCACTGAAACACTTGGAACTATAGTTGTAAGTTACTATAATTTGGGATGTTCTATATTCCTGATATATATAAGTAACTACAGTGAACCCTTTTTATGATGACCATCCACAGTTCCAGATTAATTTTCTGCCAGCTTTCTTGCAATAATGTTTTACAGTCTAAAGGATCAGAATAAGCAATTCTGAATAGCAGATAACAGTTCTGTAGAGAAATTTTGAAGTTTGTTAATGATGATTATGATCCTGTTTTGGAACCACCGATAAGACCATCATTTGGCTGTATCGCTGTTCTAGTCTTCTGTGTGTTGGGCTATCTATTAAAATGATTGACCTGCCTACTTATTAAAGATGATGATGCAGCCTTTATCAAACTTGGTTACTGAATCAGTCTTTGGAGAATTCTCTTTTCCTGCTATAAATGATATATATTTTTTCACATAAATATTCGAATTTGAGACAGAAGCCAATGTGTGCTTTATATGCTTTTTTTCCAGTATGTGGATCCCTAAGTACTGTACACATGCTTTGTGGTCTTTCTTTTACAAGGAGATTCAGATATGATTGGGACTGCTGCTCACTACTCATGTACAGTGCTGTGTGTCCTCGGGTAAGTAACGCCACTACCCCTGCCCTTACCTTCTTGCAGATTAGAACTTGCTCCATTGTGTTTTGAAATTGTGAGATGGATGAGCAAACAGTTGCTACCTCGAAGCTTGGAACAATGCATCATGATCAGATTTCTCATTAAAAAAAAAGTCCAGTCATCTAAAATTTGACAGAGACTATGTGTGAAAGAGATCTTCTCTAGGATCTATGTGTTTGAGTGGCACAAGTGCTTTACTGAGAGATGAGAGTGTATGGCAAACATTTGTTGTGTCAAGAAAGTTTCATCATCTGTATGTGGTTATTCATAAGAATAGGTGCATCACTTTCAAAAAACTTTTATCGATGCTTTCAGTTAGTGTTGGGAGTGTACAAACTATTGTGAAAAAACATTTGCATTTTGGCAAGGTGGACCAGTAGATTCCAAGCCTGTTGACAGACAAGAACAAAATGATGCACATGTAAACTACCATTTCTCTCCTTTGGCAGTCTAAAGATAAAGAGGATGCATTTTGGAAGTGCATAGTGACTGTTAATGAAATATTGGTCCACTACTTTAAATTCAAAGTCCTTGGCAGAAATCCCACTTGGAAGGAATGCAGTTTGGGGATAATGATGCCATCATCATTAGTGTTCAGGAAAAGATTTATAACTAGCTGAAAAATTTCATGAAACAGAAAAAAGGGCTTCTAAACACATTGGCAAAAATGTATCAACTCTCAACTCTGGAGGGAAGTGCATTGGAGGGTGATATGTTTAAGTGTATGAAAGGTTTGCAAAATTATAATAATAATCAGTCCTGGTAATATTTAAACCACCTTGTATATTTCCAACTAGAGAGTAGATTGTGTAATAGGTTTTTAGGTACACGGATTTTTTACTGTACAGTATATTTTAATCTACAGTTTGTGCGTGAATCAATGTTTCTAGTATCAAGTAAAGCTTTTGTTTAAAGAAAAAGAATACTCTTAATAACTAGGCTTTGATGAAATCAATCTTTTTAACTATACATGAAGTGTGGCCAATTTTTTAATATATAGTGGTCTGTGACTATTTCCATATGTAGGGAACTATAGATATTTTTCTATGATAATCCCCAGATGAACAATGCTTTTAATAATTTTTTTAATGGAAAATTCTAGTAGAAAAATTTAGAAAGATATTTTTAAATATCAAATTTAGTAATATCCTCCCATGCACCCACACAAATTATTTTGCTTTTTGTGCAGTTTTGGGTTTATGTTATACCAAAGGGCTTTAGCCCAGAAGGGCTATTAATTTTGTTTTGGCATTTTGTGTTGGAAACTTTTCAAATTGTTGCCACCAAATTTTATCGGCTGTGTTATATTTAAAGAAATTAAATAATGATTCTTCATAAATGTATGTTTCTCACATTGTGATAAAACAACAGTACGTAGAGCCATCAAATTTTGAATAACGTAATCCTCCGCCGAATATGAGCATCTAGAAGACCTAATTTGGAATTTGTTTTATTATCGATTTCATATTTTGTAACATTATAATGAATTTTTGATTAAGAAACTCGATGATTTCAAAGCGAGCAATGGCAAAACTGTACGGTGGGGGGGGATTTTTATCTCCAGTGTGTGAGATTGTGTATCGGAAATTCTAAAGATATGTTCATTTTAAAATTATTTTCCAATATTGCTGTTGAATTGAATTTAGTGGTTTTATTGCGAAGAAAATTATATTTAATAAATAAAGGTAACACACAAAATGTTAAAAAAGGGGACCCCTTTGGGCGTAATGTAAAATCTGAAAGCTTTCAGATTTTTTTGTTTTTTAATTTTTTAAAATTATACATTTTTTACATTTATCATCAGTCTTTTTTTGCATTGCCACTGCTCGAAACATTTCGTTGTTGAACAGAGCCAACTTAAAGTTCGACTGACCTGAAGCATGATGTGGCATGTATTCAACTGTTGCATTCATTGATGCATTCAACTGTAACCTCTCTGATTCTATCTCTAGTATGGGGGCATAAAGACTTAGTGGGTGCAAGGTAAGACATCTGTCTATTTTGTCTGTCTGTGACAGTTTTGATTATTTCCTAAATGTAGTCCGAATTTCCAACTTTTAGACAGGCAGCAAAATCAATAATTATGATATCCTTTGTGTGCTGTATTATTTCTTTCTTGTTAGATTCATTTATGTACTTTTTAATCATCCAGAATCTTTTCTTACAGAGATTTGCTTACAAACTGATGACTAACCCACAATGGGAAAGCTAAGCGAGCATGCATTTATAATTTTAATGAAGAATGGGAGCACCAGTTTTGCTTTGTAAATAGGAAAGACAAATATACAAGGTGTTTATAAAGTCTCTATACATTTTTGAGAAATATGTTGTAATTTCAATATTTTTGTAATTTCAAAATTCTGAAAGAATGCTGTCAACAGAGAAAGAATAGCCATTGTTTGTGCCCGTGCACATGGATTAGTGTATCAACAAGTGTAGGAGGACTTTGCCTGCAAATTCAGAAAACAAGCCCCTACCAGAGCAGCTATTAAAACCTTGGTAAACAAATTCAAGTGAACTGGTAGTGTTAAAGACCATTCTGGGAGACCTTTGATAACGCCATAAGTTGAGCAAAGCGTACAAGAAGCAATTGTGCATAGCCCCCAGGCATTTAACGAAGACTCCGTTGAGAACTAGGTATTTCACATACTACTGTTTAGAAAAACTCTACACTGTCATTTAAACAAGTCATTTAACTCTATACTGCCTATCACATTCAAACTGTGCATAAGCTTGAAGCCGAGGACTACGCAACTCGGCAAGCTATGTATTATGATTTATTGGAAGCTGTGGATATAATGAGAACTTGATGGAGAATGTTCTCTTTAGTCACAAAGCCACATTTCATCTCAACGGCCATGTTAATAGGCATAATTGCTGAATGAGGACTGATGAGCAACCAAATATGTTTATGAATCTCAGGCAGACACACTTAAAATTAATGTATGGATTGGAATAACTAAGTCTAATCTCTTTGGACTTTTCACGTTTGCAGAAAGGACCATCACTGGAGAAATTTATCTCGATATGTTGCAACAATATCTTGAGTCACAGCTAACATCAGATGGCATTATTGACACTGTTGTGTACCAACAGGATGGAGCAGCACCTCCCCATTTTGCCATTATTGTACATAATTATCTTAATGAAACTTTTCCTGATAGGTGGATTGGTTGTAGCTCTCAGCGGCTTTGGGCTCCACAATCACCAGACTTAATTACCATAGACTTTTTCAGATGGGCTTTTGTCAAGTTCAAAGTATACCGAGTGAAGCCTGGCAGCATTGAACAATTTAAACAGTGAATTATGGCTGCAGCAGCAAAAATTACTCTAATAATTTTATATAAGGTGTTCCAGAGTGTGGTGGAATGGTGGCAATTATGCCTAGACACTGAGGGAAACCAAGTAAATAGGAAAAATTAAATTGTACTAATTTAGTGATCTATTATGTTGCATTTTCATGTAAATAACTTACATTTAGAATAAAGCCTGTTTAAGCAAAAATGTAGAGACTTTAATTAAGTCACAATAACATGCCGAACAAATACTAATTCAGAAGTGAAACAACAAAAATCAGCATTATATTTTCAAATTTTCACAGTGTTATTTTTCAAATTTTCACATTAAAAATTTATCAGATTTTTAATAATGGCATATAGATTATTTAAATTGCTTTTGGACACTGAAAATTTGAAAATATAACGCTGATTTTTTTTTGTTTGACTTCTGAATTAGTATAGGGACTTTATAAACACCCTGTATATGCTTATTATGCAATATAAGCATAGCAATTCCAAAGAAAAGTAACCTTGAAAGATATTTTAAAATGGTGTATCTGAAGTTCGACTCGAAGTATCCCAAACTTTGAAGAAATAAAATTTGATCATTTAAGCCATTGATTTCAAAGCAACAATCTACTTTTACCAAACTGTTATAAATACCAATGGCAGCAACTACCACATCGATTAAAGTCTCGCATATACTTGCTGAAAAGAAAAGGCCATATGTGGATAGAGTAATAATAAAAGAAACAGAAATCTGCAGACGTATTTTTTGCAAATTTAAAAGATAAAAAAGAAATTGTTTCGGCCATAAATGCCATGCTGTTATCAGCTAGAGAACGGAAACAGTCACTGCCCACTCAGAAACCCAATTGATAAACAATATAAACAGATGTGCTTTTCTTACCTTACAACTGGATGAATCAAAAGCTATGACAGAAACAGCACAATTGGCAGTAAGTGTCAAGATGACCATTGATAATTTTACCATAAAAGAAGAGTTTCTAAAAACTCTACCGCTTAAAAGCACACATGGGGAAGGATTTATTGTGTGCAATAAAAACGTTTTTGATGCTAAAATACCTATAAATTACAGTGCACAAGCTATGACAGGGAAGAATATTGGATTCATTGCTTTATGCCAACAAGATCCTTTTTTTTCCAAACTTTGTTGCATATCACTGCATTTATACACCAGCAATGACTGTGTGCAAAAGCATTGAATTCCAGGATGTAATCGCTGTTGCTGCAAAAATAATCAATTCAGTAATGAAGACAAATGGAGTTCAACATAGATTATTTAAATTGCTTTTGGAAAATGGTGAAGATATGCAATTGATCGATCTTCTTTTGCACACTGAGGTTTGTTGGCTGAATAAGAGAAACATTTTTGAGCGATTTGTCATTTTATTACCACAAATAAAAGAGTTTCTAACATCCCAAGGGAAAACTAGAAACAACTGGAAGATAAAACTGGTTAACAAATTTGGCTTTTTTGACTGATTTAACATTGAAAATTAATGTGCTAAATTTGAAATTATAGGGCAGGAGTTGTCACATTGCTGGATATGATCGGCACTATCAATAGCTGCAAGTCAGTATTAGAATTGTATAGGTCTCATTCCTTAAGAAAATCATTAATGCATTTTGCCAATAAAAAAAGGGGGGCAGAAAACCTGAATGAGCCAAATATTGATACAGACTCTATCTTCAAATTATGTCTGCATTGCAAACTGAATTTGATTCTAGATTTGTTGACTTTGAAAATTTAGAGCCTATTTTAAAATTCTTTATAAACCCCTTCACTTCACTGATGAAGGAAACACAGCTACAACAGTTTTTAACTATTTTTGTCTTAAAGTATAGAACACTTAAAAATAGTATACTTGCAAAATGATGTTATTTATAAATCTTATGAAACTAATAAGATATTTTGGAACTTGGTAAACAGAAATCAGCATTCTGTTTATCTGGTAAAGGTGAATTCTTATTGCTAAGTACCTGTAATTTAGATGTTGTTTTCAAATATGACGTATTTGAAGTCAAAGTATCATTCAAAACTTATTTATTCCCACTTAGATGATTGTTTAAGAGCATGCAACTCAAATTATATTGTCAAATATAATAAATTAGCAGATGAATTACAAACACAAATTTCACATTGACATATATATATATATTTAAAGAGCATAAATTATAAAACTTTGTTATTTAGTTCAATAAAGTTATGTCTTTTAATCAGTGTATTCATTAGATGTGTGTGCAGTCAGTCTATCATAAACCCGTATGCACGCAACAATTTTTGGTGTCAGAAGTGGGATTGAATTCCTGTGAGAGAAGCAGTGGAGGAAAAATTAAGGCAGCTGTGGCAGCCTTTCCTGCATTCAAAGAAGAGATGTAATCAGGCCAAGAAGATATGAAAGTGGTTTAAGAGGAGATGAAAGAAGTCATTAACTATGTTAAAGAAGAGGAAAGCTGGCCACGAATGTGTTAAAGAAGAGATGAATCCAAGTCAAGAGGAAATGAAAAGAGAAATTACTGCCATAATTGAGAACAAATTTGAGGCAATGGAAGGCAGAATGGACACAGTTGTAGATAAAGTTGACGAACTTCAAGAAAGAGTTTCTCTGGTCGCCAAAGAAGCTGATACCTTAATGATATGCATAGTGACAGCAGGAAACAATTTTGATGGTTTTAAATTTTTATCCATGCATTCTCGTCCCTCTCTAAAGCTGTCCACATGTGATGGTAAGACCTCCTGGCAAGTGTATAAGACACAATTTTGTATAGTGGCGGACACAAATGGATGGGATTCTCAGGCTAAGGCCTGCCATCTCACCACTTTTCTGAGAACAGATGCAGCAGACAACCAGAGGTTAGCTCTGTCTGGCGTATTGGAACTGTGCTTTGGCTAGATGGATGGGGTGCCTGTCCAGAATCTGAAATTTACTTGTGATATCTGATAATCTTCAGTCATGACTTTCAGCCAAATTTCCTGCTGCTGCCAAGCATTTTTAAAAATATCTGCAGGCATACCCTCTTATAATCTTAGAATGCTCCACACATCAGATTTTATATTAAAATATTTCTTCTTGGATTATTCTTATAATAATTCTTGGATTCAGTTTTTAGAAAGCTGCTTTATATCTGCCTTTCACTGCATGCAAAATTCCCTTATCTGTTGGCTGATTGACAAATGTACAGTTTCAAGACAAGAATAAAATGGAGACATAATCATTTATTAAAACTGTAATTTTTTAAAAATGTGTAATTACATAGTTTTAATAAAAGTGTAATTTTATTAAAACTGTTGTTTTGATAAGATTAATAATAATAGACAAAACAAAATAATAAGCTGCTTCAAATCAGAAAGTTTGGCTAGAGGGAATCTGCTATGTTAACTGAAGTTCCTCAGAATCTAATTCTTTTTTCCTTCCCTGCTGCTATAACAACAAAAGAAAAACAGTGTGCGTAATATCTCCCTAAATGAATGTGTCTTGGAGCCTCACTTATTATTTAGGTCGAGTAAAAAATAGCAATATTTATTCTAAAGGTTCTGTAAAATATAGCCATTTATTGTTTTAAGAAAATGGTTTCTTAATTTTTTTAGTTTGAGAATGATTGTTTCTGTTATTTTAGCAAAGAAATAAATTTTTCCTTACCTTTTGTTATGTTCACTTATGAATTAATTTAGCATAATCTTAAAACAACAGTCTCAGAAATTTCTGTGTTTGATATACTGTGATTTTTTCCATATGCAATGTAAATGGAAGCCAGTTTTTATATAACTGTAAATAAAAGTCTGTATCAGAAAACTGTATAGTTTCTGTTTAAACTTTTTATGTATAAGGCAACAGAAATGTGGAATTTTTAAATTGCTTAAGTGTAATGTACTTTAAATAAAAATTAATCATTTTTTAAAGTATTTTAAATTTTGAAATTATTTGTAAAACAGTGCATTTTCCAATGTCTTCAGAACATTATTTATAGGATATGCTTTTCTTTAGGATGAAAGTGGTAATAAGATTTGGATTTGTCCTGCCTGCTCTGGTGCTGATGATGGAAGTCCTATGATTGGTTGTGATGAATGTGATGATTGGTATCACTGGTATGTAATAATAATGAAAATACTATTATTTAAATTATGTTAATGGAAAATTGTTTTATGTATTACAGAGATGCCAACTATTATGGATTTTTTTGTCATTATTACTGCTTTCTGTCTTCTATCATGGATGTAAAAAAAAAAAAATTGCTGTGAAAAATATCATGATTGAATCACATGATTGCTTTGTACTGATATGAAAAAGAATGAACAAAATACATGCTTATGCTGATGTTGCAATCAATATATATTGTCAACTCTCTTAACTGTTGCACTGACATCATAATCAATATTCAGATAAACTCAAATCATTTTGTAGACTTCACATGTGTGTTATTGAACTATGAGAGGATTTAGTATGTTACTTTTCCAAGCCATAAGCATGTGTATATATTTTTTATTAAAAACTGTTATAATAAATATATTTTGGTACTTATGTATTGACCGTGAAATTGTTGCTAGGCAGTGCAATTTAATGTCAGTAATAAGTGTGATTTCACTGCACATTCATAACATCTGCTATTTTGTTTGATCTAACCCAATTCATTCTGATAAGCAACCTTTTGTTTTTATGAATAGGGATTAACTGTTCTTGTTGCATCTTTTTCTTGCATTTTGGAAAAAAAAAAAAAAATGTTCAAGGTCTATAGAATCACATTTGTAACTACAGTTCAGTAGATTTCCAGCTGGTTCAGGGAATTTAAATCTCTTGAATGGGGTAAAAAGCAGCTAGCCGACAAAATAGTTATAAATTGGAACAGCCACCTGCAGGAATTTTGCACTCTTAGCTTTCTAAACAGAGCTTCTGGTAAAATCACAGAGCCTAATAAGAAAACATTTTTTTGTGAAGTTCAGAAATAAAGTGGGTGCACCTATTTCTGCAGCAATGCTATTTGCTGGTTTGTATAAGAAGACTGATGGATGTTTTATTGGAAGAGTTGCAGATGAAAGTGCAGCTCATCTGTGAATTTCACAGGAACAATTGATGCAGCATTGGCAGGACTTTCACTAACTTTCATTGTCCGATGTTTGCCAACTTTTATGGTTGTTGGCAGTGGCGGCTTGTAATAAGCACTGTGGAACTGCAGCACCTCCTATTTCCACTTATTATTATTTTCAATATTTAATATAGTGTGCCCTTTAGTCTTTAATTCTTTCTTTTTACTTTTACAATACATAATCCTTAAACTTAATGTCAATAGCCATCCACCATTTTGTGAAAAAGGTACAAAAGTCTTTGTTTGGAACAGCACGCTTCACAGGTCCAGCGACGCGGTGTTTGGCTGTTCTGCACATGCACACACAGAAAACAGCACGTGAGCCAGGTAGAGAGAAGAGCACTGTCGCTTTGGCAGTGCCGAAATTCTGGCATGTTGTTGAAAATGTGATTTCTTTTACTCCGCGCGTGTGGTATTCTTCCACAAGATGGAAGTTCGTCATACGGACCATAAACAGAGTTCATGAAAATTTGCAACTTTTAAAAAATTGCCTTACTGAAATTCACTCAACATCAAATGCAGATCAAACTATTGCAAAAGCAACAGGAATTTTAAAATATCTAAATGATGATAATTTCAAGTTTTAGTTAGAGCTTTTCTTATCAGATGCCTCATGTTGAAATAATATACAATTAAATGCAATCCAGAGAAATTAGTGTGTTTAAAGTTAATGAATATATAAATTTCAAAACTGCTATTTTAGATTTAAGAAACTCAAAGTACTGTGAGAATTTTTCAAAGACACTGATGGCAGAAGCTAAGGAAATATGTGACTTTATACTATGTATTGATATAGTGCACAGATATTCTTCCACTAAACAGTAGCAGCTGCTAAATTGTTTAACAAGAAATGCTTAGTTTTGGGAATGAACATTCTACACAAGAAATATTACTGTCCACTGAAGCATATACAATGATTGACAAAGAAAAGCTTGAAACTGAACTAAAAGTATTATATTGTAGGTCTGATATCCATAAATACTAAAAATTAATTGAGCTACTAAAATTTATCTTCCAAAATAATCTAGATGATGTTCTTAGTGAAATTACGAAACTGATCGAAATTCTCTTGAGAGTTCCCATGATTACATCAGAGGTAGAACGCTGCTTTTCAACATTGAAAAGAAGGAAAACTTTTCTAAGAAGCACTAGGAATTCGGAAAGACTAAATGCACATGCATTGCTTAAAGAAAAATTTCCTCAGCTGTCATCCAGAGATCAAGGAGAAAATTATTAATATTTTCGCACAAATTAAAACAAGGGGAATGGATTTCATTTTTAAATGAATAGACAAAGATTAAACTGTAACAATTTTGGTTAAAGTAATTAAGAATTGTTTAATTTTTTTCTTGTAAGATTTCATGAAGTTTCAAAATAAATTTTCTTTTTATATTCCTTTTACACAATTTTAAAACAAAGGTTAAATTTTTTTGGAACAGTACCCCCACTAATTTTAGCCACGAGCCGCCGCTGGTTGTTGGTATAATGTGTAAGTATTTATATTTATTTATCATGTCATTTTCACAGAGGCAAAAAGTCCTTCAAAAGTACAAAACCAAAGTGAAAACTGGAGATCTTTAATTGCTTCATATTTTTCAGAAAAGCATGGGTTATGTTCTATGTGTAATTGGGACTTTTCAGTTGCTCTTGAAAGTCATGATGATTGCAAATGGCATGTAAAATCTAATAAACACCAGAACTGCGTGAAAATAAAATCGTCTTTGAAGGCAGGATAATCTGTTTTTGTAAAAAATGACAACAATTATGTTATGGATGCTAAGCTTTTATTCATATCATTTCTGGTGGAACTCATTATTCGTGTTACTTGTACTGGTCATAGGATTTCTTCTTCTTCTCCCCCCCTTTTTTTTTGGTTCATTTGTTCAATGTTTCCCGATTTTGAGTATTACAAAATATGCTATTTGCATTAACTAATGATGCTAATCCTGATTGCAATACAAGTGCATTTGGACCCAATTTATTGACTGACAAACTGAATGCACTTCTTGTACCAGAAAGACATTGCACACTCATACAAAGTTTATATAGTTACAATAAGTTAAAATAAGGAGTTGGCTGCAACAAAATGTACAACAAAGTTGACTTTATAGAGTCCAGGACAGTAACATTAGGAAATGATGTCTTCATTTTTGCTTAAATCTCTTATTTCTTCTGCAGCATTGTAAGTAATACAGTCAAAAGTCGTTAATCCGGACTCGTCCGGACTTCGCCGATTCCGGATTATCGATTTTTCCGGATTATAGATCATCAGTTTAAATCTGGTAAGATGGCATGCAGAAATTACAAAATTAAAAATATGAAATCATAATTTATGAAATAAAGAACAGTTATGATCTAAAGGGTATCAAAATTTACAAAAAGAAAAGGCTTAATATTTATTTGTTTACTTTATTAAACATTTCTTTTTAAGTTGCTTTTTTCATATGATAATACTACATAATTTCTTGTTTAGTTACAAAGTTCCGCTGCTCTGTTCCTTCCGGATTATGGGTGTCCGAATTAACGACTTTTGACTGTATTCCTTTTATGCGGTGAAACATCCAATTTATGTTCAAGTCCTATAATTGCTGTGTCGAGAATACCGACTAATTTGTCAATCGAAATTTTTTCGTTTTCAATAACCTCTGTCACCTTTCTTCACTAGCGGAAGCGAATTATAATGACGAGGAACTTGTTTTAAATTATATCAAAGACAGACTACATCGAAATGAAATACTACATTTGGTAAGGAATTATAAGCCAAATAAAATAAAAACATCTGCCCTGAAGATAAGGATAGTGCTGACAGATCAACTTCCAATTCATTGCGCGCCGCGGCGCCCCCCCCCTCCCGCCGAGCAGCGTGAAATTGATAAACAGATTTCGGATTTCGAAACATACTTTTGCTTTAGATCCTTTACATATTAACAAGTATATATCGGAAATTCTATTTGATATAATCGAAAGTGTAAGCTTACTTTTATAAAATTGCTCTAACAGTCTGCGAAAATAATAATCCGGATCCAATTCGAAGATTAAGGAACAACGCAATCTGCAACATTAACTGAATTAGATAATTTTAGCTTAGCTTACATCGTCCGTTATACATTAAACGTGCATGCGTAAACGTTTTATGAGCATGCGCACAAGCATATTCGCAGCCATAAAGGTCTTACGCGCGCACGTAAATGCCTATGCGCATCTGTCAACGCGACGCATGTGCAGAAAGTTTGTAGCTTTGAGGTCCGGATTATGGGTGTCCGAATTAACGACTTTTGACTGTATTTCTTTTATGCGGTGAAACATCCAATTTATGTTGTTGATTCCTTCCAATTTGGGGAAGCTTGTCATAATCATAAATATGATTACTGATAGCCATCTTCAAAGAATGACATCTCTGGTATTAAAATGTTAAATTTTGAAATGTACATAAATAGATAATTAAGTGATTATTTAATTAAACAGAGGGTTAATATTATGTATAAATTAGTCACAAATTTAGCAAAATGAAACTGATGTTAAATTGTGTTACTTTTATTACATTTATAAGCACATTTGTAAATTTATGCAATGAATACAAAAACGTTGATTAATGATTAATAATTATAATAAAAACAAAAAAATAAATATCTTAAATTTGTACTGAGGTATTAAAAAAAAACTTTGTCATTCTTTGCATAATATTTTTCTTATTTGAAAAATAAATTACTCTCAGTTTGATGAGCAAAATGGAAGAGAGCATAAACAAAGTTTGCAATAATCAAAATTTCAGTTTATTGAAAATTCTCTACATTTTGACACTGTCTTATTAAAAACTTTGACATTTCTTCTTTTGATTGTATTTGTTTTTGATTTACATTTTAATTTTAAAAAATCTGATTAAAAGATTTGCTAATAATTACTAACTAAAGTTTTTAAAGAATATTTTCAGCAACCACATCATAAATATTTGTAAATAATTAAGTCTATTGTATCCTCATAGGGTATGTGTTGGAATTGTGGTTCCTCCTAAGGAAGAAGAGAACTGGTTTTGTGTCCGTTGCATTGCCAAACGTCAAGGGCCTAATGCCAAGCGCCGCAAAAAGAAATACAAGAAAGAAAAATGAAATTATGTGAATTTATTTCATGTGTTTCAGCTATCGTATAAAAGTCAAATGACAGACTTTTAGAAATGAGATATTCATCTTCATCGTTTGCCATCTACTGATTTTGTTTACTAGTGTAAAATTAATTTATACTATCAATTGGCGCTTTAGAATAGTAGGTGGTAAGCCCATTCTTTGACCATAAGTTGAAAGGAATACTTGAAGCTTGCTTCAAAATGTAAACAGTGGGTATTGGATATTTACAAGATGCAGAAAAGTGGGACCAGAAACAAAGCTGTTTAGAATAGCAATAAGGAAGATGACTTTCAAAAAATATATAGAAGGCTTTTTTCCATCTCAACCTGAAACATATTTTGGAGGAGTTGTATTTGTACCCTAAAATGTCATGATTCTGTAAACATAATAATTGGCATCTTTTCAGATACCACGTTTTTTTTAATAAATATGCATCTTTTTAAGGGATCTTAAGTTAAAAATGAGTATAATACTTTTCTATATAACAAAAAATGAATACATGCCTGCATTTGTTCAACTTATACATTCTTGTTTACTTTTTAAAACAATTTCATCTTGCAAATGGGTCTAAGACAATCAGCATTTACAGATATATTTAAAATTATCACATATGACACTGACATGATTCATTTGTAAATAAGATAGGTATAAATTTGCTATAATTAAAATCAATAAAAGGTAAACTTCCTGGTTTGTAGCAAAATGTTTTGCTTGCTGAAATCAAAATCAAAGAAAGAAGAAATATTACCTTATGTAGATGAAAACATCCGATTAGTTACCATTCTCTTAAAGGAAGAAAAAAATAGGAAATACCATTATTTCATCTTTTTTCCATATTTAGACATTTTTGGGGATTAAAATATGTATAGCACAAAAAGGATACATTAAAAATTCTGTAAATTAATCAATTTTAACAAAGTGCTTATTTTAATTCATTTATTTTTAATACAAATAATTACTTTGGTAATGAAAATTTATGTGTTTTAAAATTCTAACTTCATTATTCCAAAAATACTTAGTGAAATTTTCAGAACAATTTAATTTTATAATGCAGTAAAATTCGGCTGTGCATCGTAAGTTTATTATCATGCACTAGAGGTCATGTCACTAATGAGTTCTTAATTGATATTTGAAAGGTATAATAAAACTTTTTAGCATCTAAATTTGCTTTTCATGTTATTCTCTTCTTAGTAGAGATGCTATTTGCAGTGTATAGAAATAGAAATTGTGTGATTGTAATGTATAGTAATGCAAAATAAAGGCGAAATGTAGTTAATTAATTCTGTATGAATTTTAATTAAGATGTACTATAGTAGTCGATCATTTATAAAAAATAAATAAATAAATGTTTTTCCTCATTAAGTGTGATTTTTTCCCCTTATTACCAAATTCTTACTGTGAGATAATGTTAGCATTTTAAAGAATTGTCATAAAAATCTTTTTATTTTTGTTCTGTTTTGAATGCAGTATAGCTTTTTAACCTTCTGAGCAGCATAACTGGATATACCTCATCATGAGATTTTTGTCACTTGGCAGAAATAAGCTTATAATTTAAGATATTTTATGCAGGTCTGAAATGTATGAAAATTCTAATAGCTATTTTAGTAAATTTTTTTTCTTGGTTGTTATAATGAAATTATATTATACGTAAATCACACTGCCGATTAATATGTGTAAAACATAATTATTCTTTTAACTGCAATATTTATAAATTATTTATTAATCTAAATTTGGGGAAGTTTTAAACTTCTTTAATTGTTATCATGTGTTTATTTTTAATATTGGTGGCATTAGAGTTAAAAAAAACATTAAAATCAATTTTGAAATGCGAAGCAAATGATAAAATAATCAAGTGAAAAAGTGAGATGTGAAAACCCAGAAAAGCAAAATTTAAAATAATCTGTCCGAGTGCATTGCTAAATTATACTTTTATTTTCTATTTTATATACATCTGTGTTTTATTTGTAGATAAATTGCTTTCATAACAGCTCAAAATTTGTAGTTATTCTTGAATTACTGCTTTATTTCTTTGTCTGTCTTCATGTTGTTTACATGTATGATAGGGTTGGCCAAACTTATGTCAATGGGAGCCACATGTTAGAATTCAGAAATATTCAAGAGCGTGTGCTTAATTTTCCAAGAATCACAATTATGTATTTATGCTGTTTTAAAATTAGCGAAGTTGTATTTGAATTGAAAAAAATATTTAAGGAATTTGGCAAATATTTTGCATTTTTAATCAGTGTGTTTATGTATTAAGATTAAAAAATTCTTGTTCCTCTCACTGTGTATTCAGAAAAATATGTTCCTGCAATATACAATGTCCCACTAATGGCCAAGTGGTATCACCAAATACATGATAGTTTCCTGGGTCAAAATCCTGGCAAATGGGCTGACTACACAGCCATTTTCAGGTGTATAATATTAATGCAAACCAGTCTTTTTTGGGGGGGAGGTTAAGACCTTCATCGAAGCATCCCTTAGGTAGACAACCTTTGTATACTCTTGCCATTGACCAATCCATTCATGATATACAGATTTTAAATTTTTATAAAAAGTGCTGATTAGTCCTTTTTCAGGTAGAACATTTTCTTCTAGTTTTTAAAAATATTTCTCTCTGGTGATAATTAACAACTGATTATAATATGAGTACTTAGAAACTGAAAAGAAAGAAGTATTTGTTTTATGTTATAAAAACCTTTTCATTTGAGTGAAGAATATTTCAGTACAGTTAGCCAGGCCTCATATAAAAGAGGTAAATTTTTTAATTGCTTAATGATGGGAAAAAAATCGTATGACATACCATCAGAATAAGACAAAATTTCTGTGGGAAAATACAAAAAAGAGAAGAAAGTACGTGGGATAATAGGATGACAATGGTAGCAGTATTTTAGAATTGTTTTTATCAACAACAGTACATAATTTAATTAATTCTAGGTAATATGTAAACATTGTTAAATGTTCTGTTAAATATAAATTGCAAATAAAAAAAAAAAAAAATTAAAATGTACGACTAATAAATTTGTGTTTCCCATTGACTCCTATCAAAATAAAGGCGGTTTAAATAAAAACATTGTTCTTTCTGTTTTGAACTGTATTCTACTTTTGAATGCTGATTTAGTTCACATAATCAAATCTAATCTCCTCTTTAAATTGCTTAAAAATGCAGGTAAATGGTTAATAATATTTTCATGTTAAGTATAATGTGGTTTATTTGTGAATTGTTGTCGGCTGTTCCCAGCATACTGTTGTATAGCCTTTGTTCCCAGCATTACCCTGGTTAATAAAATAGAATTAGAATCCCCCCTATTAATTGATATACTCTGTTTTGGAAAGAACAAAATAAATGAGACAGAATAGCATATAATGTATAGATCAGAGATGGAGAATTTATTTATTTTAAAATAAATTACCAATTACCAAACAGGGTTTTTACATAATAATAGTTCAGTTTTTCTCTCTTATATAATGTGAGAATCAACATCTGGAGGTCTAACCTATGCGTAAATCCTTGAATCAATTTGTTTGGTGAGAATTTGATCATCATTTATGTTTACTTTTTTCCCAGTGCAAGTTACATATTACATTTTAGTGTAAGCTAACAAAGTATGCTACCTTTCAGTGAAATTTCCTACATTTAGATGCATCATCACTGTAGCATATTGATGGTATATTTATCATTTTTAATGCCCCAGTAACCATTACCTGTTCCAAAATTTCCCTCATTATAGTAGAAAGACTCAGAAATGAAATTATTTTTGTGCTGTTTCTTAAAGCCTTATTGAAAGATGTAAGATACAACAGGATATCAGGTAAAAAATATTCCCCCCCCCCATATTTGAATATTTTTAATTCTCAAACTCTCACTTACAAGAGTTCATTCAAATCTCTGTTTTCTGCGGAATAATTAATTATTGGTTTTATAATAAACTGTAATGGTAGATATAAGTTATTATAAAATTTTATAAATTATATTCAGAGCAATTGCTATTAGTTTTACTAAAATATTTCCCCTTATATTATAATAAAAGTATTAAGACCATTCTAATTCGCATAAAAAATTTCATTAATAATATGGCATAAATTGAAGTATGGAAGCTATGTGAGAGATGTTATTAAAGCAAATCATAATGAAATCTTGTGGAGTAGAAATACATAATGTTTTGCATTGTGATGATGTTTGATATGTTAGATTACCTTTCAAAATGAATCATTAAATAAAAATGAGCATATTTAGTTCAAATTCTATTTAACATTTTCTGCATAATATGTGAATTTAAATTGCCATTTACTGTGATTTTTAAGATTGAATGATTAATACCCAAATAACTTTTTATTCAGTCACTTTTACTGCATATCATTAAAAATGTGACTCATTGTAATAAAAGACCTCTGAATATATTTCCTCTCCCATATGTAGAATTTCATCTCTCTAAGATGATTTCAAAGTTATAAAATTGATTGGCTTTTATATGGTTGCGTGTTAAATATGGAATATAGTGAATCTTTTTGAAGTGATTCTCACAATTCCAGTTTATATATATATATTGGGGATGGCCGTTTTAAAGAAGTGGTGTTCATATTCAGTGTTGTTATTAATTTGTGTTCTTGGAAATATTGGCTGCTTTCAGGGGTATGTGTCTTAGGGAGATGGCCACCACAAGAATTTCCTGTGCAGTGTGAAGCCTATCTGTATACTTCTGAATTATATTCTGTTGATTTCTTTCTATTCTGTGCTTAAGGAAATATGCATTTGTAAGACCTTGAAATGATTGTGTATAATTTGGAAGTTTGCTACTGTGTTTGACAGATTATGAATAATTAGTATTTTAAATGAGAAATATGTGGAATTTGTTGCTTTTGCATTTAAGGTATGCATATTTTTGCCAACTTTGAAATATGAAAACAAAAGGCTGTTATGTGGTATTATAACTTCAAATTTACAACTTCAAATTTAAGGACTTCAAATTTACAACTTTGTATTAAGATCTCTTTATAATATATTACTCAGAATAAAAGGCTTTTAAAACATGGCTGTGAGGCAAAAAATTTTAACTTACTATTTTATTCATTGTTCTAATTGTATAATTTTTGCTTAACTTTATATCATTTTGTACTTTACTTGAAATGTTCAATTAATGTGAATTTAATTCTGTGAATAAATGTACTAATATACTATATAAAGATTTAAAGCAAAAAGAAAATATTAATACTTATTCATCAAATATTAGTTAAATTTTTATAAAAGGTTGTTCTCTAAAATGGGTTAAAACATCAGATTAAATAGAAAATATTCTTTAAATAACATTTTCTTTAAAAAAAGGGGGAAACTTGTTCAGCTTTAAGCTGCAATGAGAGATATAGCAAGATCATGCACGGCCTTTGTTTTGTGTGTGAACTTGTCATCAAAGTTTTCTTTGTAGCATTTCTTTTGATATTTAATGATAAAATATTTCTTTTAAAACTACATTTGAAAAAGTTGATTTGAATTCACATAAATTAAAAACCTGAAAGTTTCGGATTTTATCAGGAGCCTGATAAAGGATATGAAAAATTTGGTGTTTCCATATTTTACCCTAAAGGTTGGAAGCTGTAAAGTTTTATTTTCATATATAATGTTCTAAAAAGTGCATAATTATTTCTAAAGATGCACTAAAATTGTTTGATTATGTTTTTGTCTCTGTTTTAAAGGCTTAGTTAATAATAATGTAAGGTTTCAATAGCTTAATTATTTCATTCAGATGAATATATGAATATCAGAAAGAGGTATTTACAATATACACTGATTGCCTTAGGTTGAAAAACCTAATTTTCCGCTTTACATATATATGCAAAATATTACTCAGATGTACATATTTAACATGAAATATTTTTCTTGTATTTCAATAGTTCAGTGAATTTTTATTCTTAATAATGTTATTTTCCCTGCAATACAATGGAATGAATAAGTTTCAATAAGTGTATTTGATGTATATGTGCTCCATAAAATATATTTTACATAATTTTGAGCTCTTTTGATTAAGGGAATATTTTTGATATTCTTTGTGAAAAATATAAACAGTTTATTGATAATATTGGACTTATTATTGATATTCTGTAAATTGTACATTTGGGACACTTGGCTTTTACAGCCAAGGTCAGTGTTCAAAATATAATCAGCATCGTCACTGAACAGGATGCAAAAGATTGTATTTTTAATGTATTTCTTAGGAATTTACTGTTGAAGTATAATTTTTTATTTTGTTGAAACACTGTATAGATAAATATCTAATTTCTTACAATAAGCAGTTCTTTGTATCAGTATATTTAATATTTATATTTTTTGTGTAAAAAAATAAAAGTGTTTATAATTAAGCCATAATATGCAATTAATAGTAGTTTTTTATTTTTTTATGTCCGTTCTGCACTCAGATGTTCCTTAAGTCATATGTTTTTTAAAGCATTATGAAGCTGCAGTCAATGTGTAATTAATAAAGAATATTTGTGGGGATGTTAGATAATGAAAGCAAAAGTTATAGTAGAGATTAACGCAAAGTTTTTTAAGAAAGGTAGAAAAAATTGATGCTGCTGTGTGATATAGCAGAAATGTTCCTCAGATTTTGAAGTTGGTAAAGGTACTTACTTTCCTGTAGAAATGTGTAATCTTGTTATTTTTCAAAAAGGTTCTTATTATTGCTTGTTTCATAACATTAGTGGACTTTATAGATGGTGTTTAAACATTATTTCTATATTCTGCTATATCTATCTTCTTTCTGCAGTGCTTTGCAAGTAGTCTCATTATGTCATAAACTTTTATAGTGGGTTTTTTTTTTTTTTTTTTTTTTCCCTCCCCACTTTGCCTAGCCTATTTTAAAGAAAAATTTCATAAGCATATATTAAGAAACTGTTTATTTATTTTTTTATAAGGATTGAAGTCATGAAATAGACTATTCTAAGTTATATATTTGTATTCAAGACATAAATTAATAATCTAAATTCACTTGCATGATTATCATGATTTAAACAACATAAATATTTGTTAAATGAGTAAATTTTTAAAACCCAGTTCTTTTTTGTCTATATTTTTTTTTTCTTTTAAATTATTATTTTCCATTCAAAAAGCAAATTTAAATTTAGAGCATTACTTCAGGTAAAAATGTTTATTTTGTGGTTTGTACAGTTACAAAAGAAATTATTCATTTAATTAAGTTCAAAGATCCTCAGGCACAATAATAATTCATCATTTTAAACAAGCAATATCAGCATTTTCATATGCATTCTTTTTGTTGTATTCGAGCTCCAAATATATTTGTAGACAAAATGGGGTATTTTTTGTTGTTAATTCAATTTTAAATTATGTGTCTTCAGGATTTGCCTGTAATGGAAGAAACTGCAATAATTTTTCAGGAATACAGTATTTTGTCATAAAATTTACTTTAAAATCCATTCAGTTCATTAATTCAATTAAGTAATTGCTATGAAATTTTGACCAGAAAAAAAAAAAAAAAAGCTGGCTAATAAAGTAGGCTTAATTGATTAATTTTCAGAATAAATGCTCATTAAAATGTAAAATATGTATATAATAATATGTGCATAATAAACACTTTTTGCATTTACAAGTCATTATTCTTTTCCTTCTGTAAAATATTGTCAAACTGCTCCAATGTTTTTGCACTATGTTAAACCTATTTTTGTTGCATTATAATTTTTACCATGAATGACAGCAATGAAAAGCTTCATTGATGAACAGAGAGGATTGAATATAGGCATAATAATATATAATTTAGAAGGTGTGCATGTATTTTAAATAAAATTATTGTTTTGAATGAAAATGATTTAACATAATGTTTTTATTTATGTGCAGAAATATTTGGGTGCTATCTCATGATCATACATTTCTTATTATCTAGCTTAATCTTAAATTTTATTATGTATTAGTTAATTTTCCATCTATTTTGATGGGCACTCAGTTGATAAAAGATGACTTAATTGATAACTGTTTTTATCAAAAATACTTATATGCTCATATTTAAAATTTTAAAACATATTTACAAATGGCACTATCTACATATTAATTTATATTTGAGAAATTATTACTAAAACAACCTCATAATTACTTTATCATCATACTGTCCTTTGCATAAATTTTGGTAAAAATTTTAGTAATTTCAAGGTATTTCCATTGAGGTTTTAATTGATTTAAATTGGTTAAAAGCAGACTAATTTGATAATATGCTTGTTCGAGTACCTGGCCTGTATAGAGGATTTGTAGTCTAGCGTTCTACACATGTCTATATGTTTTCTATAATTGAAGCTTTATTGAAATTAATGAGCATCTTTTTAATCATATTTTCCATTAAATGTTTCATTCATTTTATTTAAATGTATATAATTAATATATTGTTTTTCTTTTGCTTGTTAAACTAATAGTTTAACATTTTGTGTTTAATATATTAATCATATTTGTGAATTGTATTATGTATAATTATTTTAGTGTGTTTCTTTTAATATTATTAAGCTGATACCCTAAAAGTTACTTGAAGGAAATGGAAATATGATGAAAATTGTGTATAATTATATAAGCTTATATTATTGCTTCATTCAGTGAAAAAAGTGTGCAGTAATGGTCAAAATGCACGATACAGTGAGTTGACAAAAACACATCTCATTGTCACATCTATACTGAAATATCTCAATTTCTATGCAAATTATAGGACCAAAAATGTTTGTTCTTTTCTTTATCAAAGATTGTTGTAAAGGTCTGTATTCTGGTTCTTTGAAAAACGGATGCAATGTAATATATTGGAAATAACTGTGTGCAACTCATTTTTTATCGATATATATTTTAACATTATTCTGATAGTAATATATTGATCTAGAAAGTGTGCTAGGTTTGATGAATAAAAATATGTTGAAAGTAACTAGAAAGAAATTATGTATCATAAATTTTAATGTATAAATTTTTTTATCCTGTCATTGTACATTTTTTTTACATTAGTGTGTAGGATCAGAAGCCATTTTGTGTGTCATTGCCTGGCAATAAAACAGTAATAAAATGCTTGTTGATTTCTAAATTTGCATCTGTAGCACTATTCCTTTGTTATTGTATATTCATTGCTTGCCTCTGTTACTTTCAGTTATAGTTTTTTCTTTTTATAATTTCACATTTTTAATAGTCTTAATAAATGCTTAGTATCTGAACATCATTTGAAAGGGAGAGAAAATTAAGAGAACTTCTAATGATTTTAAATCCAAACAGTATTAAAGCCAATACTTTAAATTCATATTTGCTACCTTTCTGAAGAATTATTTTTAGTATTTACCAAAAATCATAAAGTTGACACAATAGTGCAATTTAAATCATTGAATGGGAGGGTTAAGTATATTTTCTTGATCTCCCTCATCAATTTTTATTTTGCTTCTCTTTGTTGCACAAATTACCCAAATGCATATTAAGTGGTGACTTCGAAAATAACACTTAAATATACAAAGATTCATAAAATAAATATTTTCAATCTCACTGTTAAATTAAATTTTCATAGGCTATTTGAAGGAGAAATATTCTAATATAAAATTTTAAAATGATCAAAAGCTACCCTATGTAGAGTTTGAATACAATTCTATTGATTTTGAAGGCACACATGCCACTTTGTTGAGACCAAACATTTCTTAAAGGGGTGGGAGGAGTGAAAAACATTTTATGAGAAAATCAATGGATGAGTAAAGCAAAACTGAACATAGCTTCATTTGTCAATAAAAAGTATAAATGCCCGTTTCCACTGCTGCCTATGCATTTCTCCAATCAGCGAGCAAATTCACTTGACATCTGCAATCCGGTCGGTGTGCGGTGACGGATGACATACGGATGGAGTTCAACAATGTTCAACTTCTATCCGTATGTCTGCGGATGCGTTGGGGTCACGTGGTAAAAAAGGAGCAATCAGGTGCAGTCACTAAAAATTAATGGCAGCAGAAGTAGCGATGAACGCTCGCTAATAGGGAAAGAATGTTTGCTAAAAAATACTTATTTCTGAATTAACATTATAGCGAGAAATCTGCGTGCTGAAAAAGACAGCAATCAGCTGAATTTAGTTAAAAAAAGATAAGAAAAATAAGATAGCTGCAACTACAGTACTTGTTCGCAGATAAAATCAGGCGTTCAAGAAAATCAGCAGCAAAAATTATAATTCCAAGTCCATGAAATAGCAAAATTTGTCCTGACAATTATTTCCTAGTTCTGCATATTCATTTACCTTTAATGAAAATGAATGTCTGACTATATCAAACTGCTATAGCAAATTAGATATGATTAAAAGATTTGTTATTTTTTTCTTTTGAAATAGGTAAAAACTAAAAAGTTAATTATAAATTAAATTTGATAGCCTTTTAAATATTCCACTGCATTAAAGAGTATGTTAAATTTGTATTTCCCTTTATAAATACAGTCAAAAGTCGTTAATTCGGACACCCTTAATCCGGACCTCAAAGCTAAAAACTTTCGCGTTGACACATGCGCATAGGTGTTTACGCGTGCGCGTATGACCTTTTACGACTGCGCATATGCGTGTGCACAAGCACAGAATACGTTTTCACGTGCGCGTTTTATGTATAACGGACGGTATAAGCTAAAATTATCTAATTATCTATTTCAGTTAATGTTGATGATTGCGTTGTTCATTAATTTTCGAATTGGATTCGGCTTATTATTTTTTGCAGACTGTAAGAGCAATATTATAAAAGTAAACTTGAACTTTCGATTATGTCAAATAGAATTTCCGATTCTGGAGCTCCCAAAGGATTGTGCAAAACGAAAGTATGTTTCGATGTCCATCAAACAAAAAGTGGAATTGTTGCAAAAAATGGATAAAGACATGAAGAATGTGACAGAGAGGTTAATGAAAACGAAAAAATTTCGATTGAAAAGTTATTCGGTATTCTTGGCACAGCAATTAACGGGACTTGAACAGCGGAACTTCGTAACTGAACAAGAAATTATGTATGTTTATAGAATTAAAGAGAAAGTATTATCGCATAAAACGAAGCAACTTAAACAACTTACATTGAAAGAAATGTTTAATAAAGTAAACAAATAAATATTAAGCTCCTTTTTTTTTTTTTTTTTTTTTTTTTTGTAAATTTTGATACCCTTTAGATTATAATTGTTCTTTATTTCATAAATTACGGTTTCATATTTTTAATTTTAGAATTTCTGCATGCCATCTTACGAGATTTAAACTGATGATCTATAATTCGGAAAAATCGATAATCCGGAATCGCCGAAGTCCCGACGAGTCCGGATTAACGACTTTTGACTGTATATCTTTTTGGCTAACATATATTTGTAAGCACATGAAATATATTTTTAACAGCCCGTGTAACTTCAATCGGAATGCCACTTTAAAAGATAATGTTTTTTGTAAAAAATGTACTAGAAGCTGAAGAACAAACTCTGGTGAATTTTTCAGGCCATATCACACTAAAATAGGACCAAAAAATTTAGTTTTAAGAATTGATTTACTTGATGATGTATATAAGCCAAAATATGCATGCAACTCCTGTGTGCTGCTAGCTTAGTGGTAAAGCTGACAGTAATAATGTTTACTTTTGGGGGGTCGTGAGTTTGAATCCCATACGCTTTTTGCACCCTGTTTGCAACTTTCTCAGCTTTTTGTTCCAATTTGATCTATATTCGTGTTTTATAATTTATTTCTATTATTATATGCGTTAAATATATTGTTTTATTTATGCTCTTATTTATTTAAATTTCACCCCAGCAAAAAAGTTTGAAAATTATATAATACTAATTTAAAGCATACCCTGTATATATATATTTGAATTTAACAAACATTCTCTATTCGCAAAAAGCAAATTTAAAGTTAATTAAATATAGATGAAATAAATGATTAATTATTGCTGAGAACTAATCTACAATATCATTTAAATTCTGAGAGCATATGTAAATTAAATGCAAGTATCAAAATCCATGAATAAATATATAATTCCAAAAATTTATAAAAATGCGTAAGTAAATAATGGGATAGATTATTAATCCTAAAAAATTTATAAAAATGCATAGATGAATAATAGGATAGATTTAATCCTAAATAAAAATGCATAAGTGAATAATAGGATAAATAAATTTTTGGAATTATATATTTATTTATGGATTTCGATACTTGCACTTGATTTACATATGCTCTCAGAATTTAAATGATATTGTATATTAGTTCGCAGCAATAATTAATCCTTTATTTGTTTGCATTAAATTTCATTAAAATTTAATTAACTTTTAATTTGCTTTTTACGAATAGAAAATTTTTGTTAAATTCAAATTTCATTCCTTGCAGCAATGGCACAAGAGAATTATTTAAATTTAATTTATTTTGAAACCCTGCAGATATATATATATATATTCGTTTCACTTTTATGTGAATGTATATACATGTGCTCAGATTTTGGGATGTTTACGACTCTAAACTTTCATTCCAATTAACATGAGACAGTATTAATGCCCTAAACATTTTTTTTAACAAAAAATTACTATAATAATTGCTTTTAAATTCAGTCCTCTCCAGCAGAAGCGCAGGAATTAATTAATTAAATATTTTCCATTTTCTTTACCTAATGTGTGTATATATAAAGAGAAAAATCTTATTTTTATAACTTCTGTAAAAAGAGATATGAATTAAAAATGTTTAAATTAAAAATAATATTTTATGGATTATGCATAAAATATAACTGCCCATAGTGCATTTTAAAACAAATGAGATTTCTAATAAATTATCCAGCTATGACCCTGAAGTCAGCGGTATACAAGCATAGCAAATTTTGCGTAAATATTGTGAACCTTTCTTTACGGTTGCTCTGTACTTTTCCTTTAACTTTTTTATTTTATTTTTTTATTTGTTTACTTTTTCACTAACAGTACATTTTAGTTTTAATAATATATATATTATTTCATAATATTTAAGGCTTCTACAAACACATTTTTTTTTTTTTAATTTACTTAAGCTTCTATGGAATTAGTGATGTTCATAATATGCATTATAACCTTACTTATGTAAAAATTGCTAGAGTACTTTACTTTCACAATTCATAAGCAGAAATAAAAATTTCCAATAACATGGAATTTAGTAAACAAAACTTTTCTGCGTTTTACGTCAGGATCCATATCAAATCCAAAACAAACAATACTCGCTTAAGCGGGAAAAATTCGGATGTTCAGCATCGTAACTTGCAAACTGCTTGTTTGGCGCCAAAATATTACAGTGACACCTAGCGGCGGAAAATGAAAATATTTTACGGATACGCAGCAGTGGAAACGCTTGTACGGATGCCGTAGGCGTGTCTTCAATTGACGCAACGCGTTCGTACGCAGTAGTGGAAACGAGCCTTAATGAAACATGAAAAGCTAAGATATTAGAAATTTGAAGAATTGAATTGGATTTGATGACAACTTTTTGTGAATGTGAAATCCAGTTCACCATCTGAAGAAACTGTGTGGATAATTTCCTCAAAACTGAAGGTGAAATTGAGGTTAAGTGACTAGTTATCATTTGCAGGTGATGCTATTTTAATTCGATATTTGTCTAGCCACATGTTATGCTGTTAGTTCTCCAATAATTAAAATCATCTGGAATCTTTAAAAATCATACAGTGAATTTTGCTGATAGTTGAGAAAATTAACCTGAAATCTGCTTGTGGAGAATCTGAGCAATTTTGTAACTGACAGAAGGATGAAATGAGGTGACTATGAGATTGTTATGATTATTTCTAGTAATGGAATGTCTTTTATGAAAGCTTTATTGATAACTATGGAAGAAAACTGTGTATCAAGGGCAACTGATGTCACTCTTTACTTATAGAGTGATATAATTTCTCAAGCAGAGGATAGCAAGTAGGAAAATATTTTGCTTCTCAAGAAAAGTGAATTAGGTGTGATCACCCTCGAAATTTGTATTAAAAAATATCTGTTAATGTAAGGGTGTTTATTTTTTTGCGGTGGGGGTCTAGTTCTAAATTTTCATGGATTGTTAGGATTTAGTTATAAAAATATTGATCGCTATAATATTAGTAAA